CCTGCTAATTATAATAACCCTCATAAAACCCTTGACGTCTGTTGATTTTTAGTGTTCCACCGATAAAGAATGTTCGGCTGGTCAGTGCTGTTTCAAAAGAAGATTCGGTTCCAACAAGTGCTTGGGAAGAAAGGGACTGGGCAGGATCTGTCATCCATACTCTGTAAGTAGTGTTCGACTCCTTGAAGCCTAAATAGTCTTGCGGTGGTAGAGTTTGAAGTTCATCAGCTTTTGAATTTCCGATTTAGTGGTGCAGACTGTGTTTCGTCCCAGAGATTTTATTTTCGAAATGATTGTTTGTAGATTGAAATCTTAAAACTTGCCGCATATTGTAACTAGTCAAAACTGATAGTAATAATCCACCCACAATACTTTACTATGCCCCATCGAAATGCGCTCTAAAACACACCTAACCCTTTAATCCCTAAGAATGACCAGCATCTAATTTCTCCTTACAATATCACCCCTGAATCACACATTAAGGTCATGAGAAAAAGGAAAATGATCATCAACTGAAAGAAGCTCTTGATCGTGAAAAAAATTCTCCTTGTCACCACTTAAGGAAATGCATAGAGAACAGTATGGAGAATATGCATTCTGATGTTACGGTGAAAAGGGTCAAGAGCAATGCCACCTTCCCCAAAAAAGTTTTATGCTATTGGTGCTGATATGTTCAAATAAGCACCATAAACCGGTGTGCACCTATAAAATCAGACCCTACCCTCTCAGGCCTATTTAACACATTGGGCTGGTTACACGAGGTCTAATACAAACTGGGGTTTTACGCAAGCGGTGGGCCTTACTTATTCTCTGTAAGAGGGTTGTTTTCATTTAAAAAATGTCCTTTGGCTGCCAGCTTTTGGCGTTCTGAACACTGTTAACAAAAATATATGTTCAAATAAAAAATTCAGCTAAATTGAAGATAGTTTAGAACGCCATTTTGTTAAATAACGTCTAAACTTTGTTTGAATAACTGACTCAATTGTTTTACCTTGATACAGAACTGCTCTTGGAAGTGCCTGGAAGGATTGGTATGTAAAAAGAAACTTGCAATTGGTCATTTCAATTTCTACAAATGCGCTCATCCATAGGGCAGGTCCTGATCCTGATGATGTGGATATGTGAATTAACCATAATGAAGAGAAACACGACTTTTGACTGTTCAAGAGATTATAAGTTGTTCAGCGTTAAATAAACAGTCATGAATACATGAATTGTGTACCTTCTCTTTATTCAAAAGGGCCGCACACGCAATACCGTGTGAGAAATTCATATCAGTGAGAATTGATTTGTGTCATTTCTCCTCGCCCTCAAAAAAGAATTCATGTCAGCTACGCATGCCACTCAAGTTTTGTAATTGCACTACGCAGTCAACCCGGGGTTCAATAGAAATTTTCATTTCCTCCCTCTGGAATTGGGCATGTATAAATGGTAATTAAAATAGAGACATTTATCAGTGATAGCAGCAAGTGATTCTGCCAATTTAACTAATGATCTTGGTATCTTTTTTAGTGTATCTTTCTGAATTTCTTATTCAATTCGAAACTCTTACATGGGAACTCTATAAACTGAGGAAGTGATAGCCAGTAAATTTGAGCAATACCAAGTGTTTGTTCACCTGCAAACATTGAATTCATTTTTGGTGGAATTTGTTTTCAATATAACATGAAAAACAATATCGAGCAGGAAATGAAAGGTGCAATATGGACCGTTTGTTCTTTTTAGAGTTACCAATCTTTGGGGAAGAAACATGAAAAATTATATCCTTTTAAAATGTAGAAACGGAAATGAAATTTAAAATGCGAAATTACCTTGTGAATTTTTTACCTCCAAATGCGTCAGCCATCCAAATTAACTAAGACTATATCAGAAGCTGCAGCTATTCGTTTGCTGCTTTTGTTCTCAGGGGTGAAAGTCATCAACACAATTTCAATACATCATCACAGCACTGATGCGTTGAGCGTCGACAAAGTTATCTTGATATAAATTAAATTCTCTTTACCTACTTACAAGGATTTGTGTGTAACCAAGAGTGGAGAGTCTGTAGTTAAATATTTCGGGTTACACGGGTACGAAGACCATGAAATGCTTCAGGGATCTAGGAACCTTGGTATGCGTTTGTCAAAATAAAGGCAAGGTAAGACCATATGATATTTGAAAGAACTGAAAACCGTTAACAGACTTTGCATCCAAACTATGGACCCCGATCGCATGAACTCGCGATCAAATCAAAATCAACGACATGGTTGCTATCTCATAAAAGCTGTTCTTTGATCGGGAGTCTTGTAATAAGGGAAGAGCCGGATGACACGTCGTTTTTGCTCGTTAGTGTTTCATCGCGAGTGCGTCAGTTGGAGAGCGGTATCACATCATTTCTTCATCTATAGTGATCTCGTGTCAGAAACGATGACTTGAAATTTGACTTGTTTTTGCTTCTGTGCTCAGCGTTTGCCTTCTTAGTTTATTCGTCTGCGGAAGAAATTTTTCTGGAAGACGAAGTTCAAAATTATAGGCGCTTTTGATCTTTTAAAAAGAAGGTAAGTGCCCTCTGTTGGCAAAGTTTAACTGTAAAAGTAACTAACTTAAAGGTTTCGCTTCGGCTTGGTAACAAGAAGACAAATAATTTTTGTAACCATGGTCATATTTAAAAGTAAGTAAACTTGTCCTCTTAAGGAGGTTTTACACTCTGGATCACTTCTCAGCACAGTAATAAACTGTCATTTTCAACTCCTTCCAGTTGACGTCAAAGGTTTTGTGTTGATATAAAGAATTATCTTAAAACTACAAGGCCAACTCTTTATTAACCACAAAATTTAAACAGTGAAACTGTTCCAAGATATTGCTTGATTCTAACCAACAAATACAGAGCTTCTAATAAAATTAACTATGTTAAATCATACTCTTTCTAAATATGTGCTATTAACGAAAGCGATTTCATTACATGGTCTACATTGTGACTGGTGTATCGCCACCTGCTTCTGTTTATTGCATGGACATCATCCAGGACTAAACATGTCCTTGAATCTATTCTACTGTTTAATTTCCAGCGATGTTCCAGCGATGCAGACTGTTAGAAAGGGTGCTGTTTGAAAAGCTAGGTTTCTCCTGGTGCAGAGATAAGAAGAAAGAGGGCAGCCTCTGTCATCCTCGCTCTGTAAGTACAACTAGACCCTTGCAAACTTACATAATAAGTCAAGAGTGTGCACTACCGCGAACCAGTACTGTCGTACACACGTTATATCTGAAGTGGGTTCCGCCAGGAAAGAAAATCAAGAAGTTGAAGCATTGAACTGGTTTGACCAACAACAAGATATAGGAACCGATCACAATTTGGTGGTTGAGGTTTACAAAATAATCTTCTTTTCCCTTAACCCAATGCTGTCTTTACGTGTGATTTATGTAAGTGTCGTATGTTCGTAATTACGCAGTAACACGTCAGAGTTAGTGAATTTTGCAAAAACTAACAGAATTTATTAGTTTCGTCAGTTTCAGTCTTTGTTAATCTACTTCAATCTTAATCCTCTAGAGTGACAAGCATCTTATTTCTTCTTAAAAACTCACTCTTGAATCACACATTGTGGTCAGGAGAGCAGAGATATCAATCCCCAACTTAAGATACTCTTATGAATTCTCCTCGTCAGCATCCAAGGAAATGCATAGAGGACAGTTTGGAGAATATGCATTCTGATATATTGGTGCAAAGGGTCAACCATCTTCGTTCCCTAATGGTTTATTTTTACTTCTCTTGTTTTCGTCTCAATTAGCAAAAGTGTTTTAGCCCTTTACACCCTATCATCATTATGCATTTTATCTTTACTGTTCTCTATACATTTCCCAAAGTGCTAACAAGGAGAATTTGTTGAACAATCAGGAGCTTCTTTAGTTGGTGATCATTTCCTTTATTCCCACGACCTCAATGTGTGAATCAAGGGGTGATATTGTAAGGAGAAATTAGACGCTGGTCGTTCTTAGGGGTTGTAGGGTTAAGGTGTCTTTTTCAAAAGCAATAGCCTATTGCTCAAAACCTCGTGAGCTCACTTAGTAGAACTCATTACGCCTAATATCCTCAGAATTTTTCTTAGGGGAAAGGAAATTGATTTTACCCCTTCTGAATCATGTGCACTGGACATTCAAATGAAAAAGCGAAATAATAGATGTGTGTATGCTTGCAGTTGCAGATGATAGGCACTCGTCTAGTCATGAGATAGGATTTAATAGCTATCTTGAGGGAGCTGGAACAAAGCGAACTAACATTTTTTTCCTAGCCCTAACAGTTCTACAAAATAGAACTGTGATACGACCGTGTTATTTTGTCTACAAAAAGAAAAGAGGATCTTTATGACTAGACGGAAATCTAGATAAATTTAAGGCCGGTAAAGAAAGATCTTTCGACGCCATATGCCCTGTTATTGGCCTTGGATGCGCCATTGCACATTGCATCAGTGAGGCAACCGCAACGTCATCCCTAACATGAATAAGATTTTGAAGAAAAGAAAAACACCCTCAGCTGGCTCAGATGTGAATGCAACCTTTAAATATTATGAACACGTGAACAAAAACACTTTTGTGCCCCTACGGGTCAGCTGATTAAAGGCCTTTTATAAAGTACTGAATTGAAGACGAAATCGAGAGGACAGCAACCTTTTTTGAAGTGCAACTGATGACATGATGTTACCTTTCTGGAGTACGTTCTCAAATTCTAACATAAAGGAAATGCTGCGCATAATTTAAAATGGCTGTGCTCCTCTTTTTAATTCCGTTTTCCGCTATAATGATTCCGTTTTAATTAACTTTTTCAGTTAGATAAAACTAATGTTTGGCAGTGTTTGAATAAGATTGACGCTTCACTGTTTTGACACCTGGCTCTTTCTTTGCGAGCCAAGACGTTTGTTGTCTTTTTATTTGCGTTTGTGATAAAACAGCTTTAATTGAAGAAATAAAAACACGCAGCTTAGTTTTAGGGTCTAACAGAAGCTTGTGATCCTTAGCACGCTAACAACATGAAACTGTTGTTATTCTTAACGCTTTGCATGACTCTCGTCTTTGTTGCAGCTGAACCCAGTTTTGTAGAAGATGAATATTTAGAAGACGCAGAGGAAAATGATGCGCGTCATCATTTGCGCCGCGTAAGTCATCAATTTAAAATGTACCAATCGTAAAAATGTACAGCATTTTTTTCGTGCTTAATGTGATAAGCTATATATAACTCTTTGAAAAATGGAGGTGGAAAACAGATTTCTTTTTTTCATGTTCTTGTTGCTTTGAGCGCATATCTCTTTGCCCTCAAGGCTTTTCGAACACCACTTTTCTCAAAAGTACACATCAAAACGAACTGTGAATACAATGATCATATTTATTTGGGACAGTCCAGTTCAAGTTCACTTGAAGCAAATGCACGAGTTCTCAAATTTACAAAGTATGGACCAGGTTCAATAGTTGCGAACCCTTCAATGTATCGTTTCCAGTAAGCGAGTATGAAGTAGGTGTCACTAAGGGCCTAATGCCTTTCCTCCATATTCAGTGCCAAAAAAATGAAGACTGCAAAGCTGGAGAATGTTGCAGACTTTACTGGTACTGGTTTTGGAAACGCAGGTGCTTTAAACAGAGGACAGAAAATCAAACATGCCTTCTGAAAACTGTAAGTGTGTTTCACTTTTTTCGTCGATCATGATTGAAAGCTAATACTTCCACTACCAAATTTTGCTAACAGTCGATGAAAACACTTAGAACAAAAGAAATCTGAGGCAATAACAACAAAAATAAAATCCTTAAATGATTTTCCATTGCACTTGCAGCAAAGTAAATCATAGAAACTCTCTCAAGTTTCATAAAGACAACCAAATAAATATCACATAGTTTAATTCATTTCCGGCATCTTATTTTCCTTTTTCTTCAGTCTAGCGGAAACTGTCATAACGGTTGTGCAGATGGTCTGGAGTGTGTAAAATGTGGAGACCCTGATTTTCGTCACCATAATAGGGGCAAGTGTATTCGTCCGCTCCCACCCACTGAGGAACCAGGCTCTGGGGATATAGACGACTAAGGGAAGAATACCAGAAAATACATGTGACACATGTTGTAATACAAGTCGAAATGATATAATTACGATTGAACATGTGGATTAGTAAACTGTCCGGACGATCAATAAAAAGTGTGTGAACTGACAAATGATGCATGGTGCTTGACATGATTGCGATGCGTGATATGATTTGCGAAATGTATGAAGTGCGACTTTTGATTGTGCTTTTGAGGAATTTGTTCTAGAATGTGATTCCTGAAAAGCGGAGTCCCTAACAAAGAAAGCACGACTCCGATTACACGTACCCAGGAATTCTCGCCCGCTCCATAAGCGAATAGATCTATTTATACTAGACTCACAATAACAAACAGTTACTGCACACTCATTGGTATGCTTCCATTCAAAGAAGCTGTTTAACGACAACAATTCAATAAAAAAGTACAGAGAAACTTTAGGAACATGTTTTCATCATTTACTCATGAAACAATACCGAAAAATATGAAGAACGCTTTGCATTGTCCAAGGCGAGACGCACGATGGCGAGATTTGATATGACAGAGAATAAGAATGAACTCAACGAATTTGCTAGCGTCATTAACTAATCAAAAGCCAGAAATCGAAAAGAAGCTTGTATCCACACCTGCCTCAGGTGCCAGTTTATCCATGAATAAAGCAAAGGGCATGTTTAGACGTCTCTCAAAAAATAGAACAAATCAGACTTTTGAAGAATGATTGAAGCAAAAATCTGAGATAATCACGCTAAATAATAAGCCAATACAATACCAAAGTAGAGTGAGATGACAGTCAACCTACACAGACACTAAATTGCTCACAATGAACTTTTATTATCAGTCGTCAGCTGTTTAAAGACCTTTAGAGCCCATTGAATGAACCTTGGTATACTGTAGAAAGAGAAAGGAAGAAACAAATCTTTTTTTTGAATCAACAATCTAAATTTTCCTTTCTCTTCATTCTGCATTAGTAAACTTCTTGGAAGCACCAATGCCATTGTAGTTTTAAAATGGATCATTTGATTCAAATCATGACAGATATTTTGAATACTCCAAAGCCACCCTCCAAAGCTATTCTTTCTTTTCCATCAGTTTTGTTGAAAAGGTAAAGAGCTGGACTTAAATAGGAAATGCTATTGAGAATTGTTCTATCCTAGACAAAAACGTCAGTGTATCGACTCAGGATCCTGCCGTTTAAGCGAAATGAAGCCGGCAGTGTTGTTTGGCTTTTGTCTGGTGGTCGCTTTAGTTGTAGAATCTTTTGGAGAAGAAAATGACTATCGAATGCGCAAGGTATTTTTCAATTTTTTTAATTAGGTTGTAAATATATTTTTGTCTATGATGAGGTAGTAAAACTCGAAAATTAAACGTAAAAATATACTTAAGCCCTATGAGGGAAAAATGCTCGGAAAAAGTTTTATTCGATAAAGATTTCCAAATTGGAAAAAAAAGTTGTCGGAAGACTCTCTGTTCTAGATTGAAATCTCTCAGAATTTACACTGACGACACAATGTTCTCACATCACAGTGTAAGAAAAAGTGTAAAGTTGGAGAATGCTGCAGGATAGTCTGGTATTGGTATGAATGCTTTCAACAGAGAGGACTGGGACAGCCTTGTCGCAAGAAGCCGCCTGCTGTGAGTTCACGTATTTATGTTCTTATTAAACGAAAGACCTTTACAATTTCCTCTAACCCTCAGCTACTATCTTCACGAGTTGAAAAACAAAAACAACTATTCCTAGCTTCTTTTTCATGCTTTTTTGTTTCTTTGATTGTGGCAACTAATTATATATAAGCAGGTTTGATCAAGAAAACTTCGCTGACCAACCCGAGTATAGCTGCTCCCAAGGGCTTCTTCCGGTTTTCTTGAAATGTAAATTTGATATTTAAGGCGTAAGACGAACAAAAGAGTAGCGACACCTTTCTTAGCCTAAGAGTTGATTTTTGGCTTTCTTATCCTCCCCGACTCATACCAATGTCCTCCGGTCTTTTGTCAGCAAATTAATGATCATTACAACAAAAGAAACAAACGAGCACATAATACTGGAAGAGGGTCTGAGGGAGAGGAGCAATTCTTTTTATGACGCAACGTACGCGTGTGGCTTAAAATTGTTACAGGCTAGGGGCAAACATAATACGGTAATGGTCATCTGGGTTTGTTGACAACGGGGCCGAATTTAAGATAAGTTTTTGAGATCTCCGTTACGAGGGTTCCCCAAATCAAACAAATTAAACATGAAATTGGCAACAGCGATCACCTTTACGGCAATAACTTTGAGTGTGCGTCAGTACAAAATGTTGTTGACATTGTATCTTCTATAATAGTATCTCTGTCACCACGGTTGTCGAGATGGACTGGTGTGTAAACGTGTCGGCCGTCCCACCCCGGCAGGGGAAAGACATCCTCATCACCGCAGGCGCTTCAAATGTGTCCGTCCACCTCCACCTACAGAGGAGCCTGGTTCTGGAGACCTTTACATGTAGTCTTACATAATGTACTCACATGAACGTCAGCCCAATCGGGCACCTTGAACCAACTTTTGTTGTTCGGAATCTGTCAAGATATTTAATAAAGGGTATTCAATACGAAGATATATTCTGAATTATTTATTCAATACCTTTTCACTGCGATGCAGTGATTTGATCCGCAGCTGTCATTGAGTTCCCGTTGAACAATTCGTGTCATTCGTTGGCAGTTACATCAATCAGCCAGGGGACTGAAGGAAAGAAGTCTCTTAGATTTTTTGTCCAAGATGAAGACCTATTGATTATTGATGTTATTGACAATTCCCTTTATTTGCGTATTGTTTTTGCGTGAAACTGTCACTCATACATTCACATGGGAATAACTTAAACACGCTTATCACACTCTTCGCGTGGAAACGCAGGTTTTCTTTATTGTCAATTTTTCCTCCTACAAATATGAATCAATAAAAGGATCGTGGGGACCCATTCTGTGTTTGTAGGCTGTTGTAATGACCAGCCGGATCAATATCAGTATCTGGGCAACTGCCCACCTACCCCTCCCCTAACTCAACATTAATCTTAACTTGTTGTCAATTAACGGTTGTTTAGTTAGGGGGGGGGGGGTAGGTGGGCAGTCGCCCAGATACTGATATTGATCCGACCAGCGTTTAGACTAAACATTTCGCTTTTCGCAAACACCTTGAAAACATTTCAGTACTAAATTAACGATGCAGACCTCTGTGACCGCAGAGGACTGTGTTTGTTTGGGTAAGTATTACAAATTCAATTTCTTAATTGAAATAATCATAAGAATATGAAACAACTTCACCTAAAAGATCCCCGTGTCAAGCAGAGACGAACAGTCACATTGCTACGATTTTTCTTCTATATAGGAATAAACCCCGGTGTATTGTTATCAACTATTTTACGATATAGGTACTTGCAAACGGCAAAACTGAACGAGATACAAAAGCGAGTGATAAAAATATATCGATCTAATTCATTGCAATCAAATATATAGGAGCTATTCACATTCTACAAGCATTCAACGATTTGGTCGATTCCCACGCAGCGTCAGTTTCCTCCAAAAGCCGACTTCATTCGGGAAAAAATGCTCAGATTATTCCAGATAGTGTTCTTCCCTAATATTATACACATTGCGACTAAAGCTGAGGAATATATATATTTGAAAATTGAGAAAATATGACACTTAAATGCTTCGTTGAAGCGACCAATTGTTGAAATGTTTTATAAAATGGTTTTCTTTGTCTTCCGCTTTATTCAGACTTACCACCTGGTTAAATATATTTACAAAAGATGGGTGACAATCCACTTTGGAATACATGATGGCTGCGTTTTGTTTTTATATGATAGCAATTGACGCAAAAACGTTAATTTCATATAAAATATTGGTTAGAGAAGCCTCTGCTGTTAAAGCTGACAAATTCACTTTATAAAACGCGTGTTTATCGTCATACACTATGATTTCGATAGAAAAGGAAAGTTCTACCTTAACGGAATGAGTTGAAATTTTTGGGCGCGAACTGGAGGAGGTGGGTGAACATGTTTCATTTCAAAGGGTTATCTTGCCACTGAGGTGGAGAGGAATGAATTTGAAATGAAGCGAAGACTCCATCAACCTCCTTAAGAAACAATGATCATGAAGCGATACTTAAGCAGCACATACCTCTCACCAAACAAGCTTAAGGTTTGTACAAATAGTCACAGACGGACTGTTAGTTTCTTTATAGAGACGCACTTGCCCCCGCAAAAAGTGTAGGGATGTGCAGATGTTGCTACGACATATGGTATTTAGAGGGGGCTGTGACAAGAAACTCCTGAAAAACTAAGACCAAGTCCCAAAATTAGTACAACATGTTATCATAGGCTCAGTATCCCTTTGTAGGATTGCTTCTTTCACCCAAGTTTTTGCGCAAACTATTTTCCTTCAATTGGGACATCGCTTGGATGAATAGTGCTTGTTGCGAGCAACCCGTTGGGAAGTTTCTGAGCAATTTTCGCGTTTTTTCGATCATTGTCTTTTTTTAAGCGTTCTCCCTTCAATAGCGTTTCTATTTTCCCATTCCTTTGTTTCCTTGACGATATTAAAGAGAGAATAACACTAAGGAAATAACTCAGAAAGCAGCTGATTCGAATGAATTCGCCTTCCGCCCCTTTTTTCTTCTTCGTATTTTTTTCTGGAGAGAAGAATTTATTTTGAACTTCTACAAACTTAGGTTGAATCGAGGCTTTCAGTTGGACTTGAATGTAAGATTGGATGCATAAAAGCCATACCTGGCAAATCATTATGAATTTGCTTCATGTCAGAACAAGAACTGCTTTTCGTGACTGTGTGTTTAGATAATTTTATTATCCTTTTGAATTTCCATATTTTTCTTGACGCTTGAATCATGCAATAAAGATCCATCTATTTACATTGCTTAGTCCTGAGCTTGACTTATTGAGAGTAACTAACACAAACGGTTCTTCTTTTACACTAATGGATTAATCAATCCTTAATAATTAGAGGAAACAAGAAAACTTCTCAACAAGAGTAAAGCACCTCTCTCAATCTTAAAGGCTTGTTTTTTACCTTTGCTGAAATGCGGGTGTAAAGTTTGGAAGATAGATACATTTATGTTACGACTGTTTTCTATTAACCGACGATAGCCTCGGAAGATTGTTGTTTTTGCTTAGAAACGGATCCTTTTTAAGGACCATTTATGAAAAATAAACCTTAGCTAATAGCTAAATGTGTACACAGCTTCTCTTACTGGCTAAAGCTTTTTTAATGGCTAACTTTCAGCAACATTTTTGTTTGCAAATAGCCTATAGAGGATAGACAAGCGAGTACCTATGACGCTTAGCGTACAATCAATTTTCACCACGTCAAAATTACGTATATTAAAGGTATAGCTTGGTAATAAATGCCGTGAAAATTTAATTTCAGCATCCTCTGTGCCGAGTGATCTCTGTCAAAAACGCATTATCCGCGTTTTTCTTTAATTCAAAGTTGAATATTCAGCTGGCTAGCTCAAGAGGAACGTGCATTTTTAAATAGCGTACTTGTTATTTTTTAGAGGGCCTTTAACTTATGTTTTTTTTTTTACACCTCCGTAAATTTTAGCTGTCAAAACAGCGTAACGACATGTAAAAAAGCATTACACTATGCAGTTGTTCTTAAAAAGAGAGGTTTTTAATCTCGCCCGTTACTTTTTTTTATCTCGTTTTTTCACCTTTTATTCAAATTTTTTCCTTGTTTGTTTATACGATTAGACTTGGTTTAAACCTTCCCCTAGGTCTAATGTCCTGCTAATTTCCCCCACTTTTACGAAATAAATAAAGCAAACATCTGAAATATTCCTTGCGATACCGCGTGCTTAACAGGCAATAAATAATGGGATTGACGCAGGCGTGGAAATTATCCAGCACGTCTGAGAAATTAAGAAGAGTATCGATAGCCTTTTCCTGACTTTTTCCACCGTTGCCAAAGTCTAACAACAGCCAGGCTATTTGCCCAGGAAAAAGGCAAATGGCGAACAAAATGACAACGGCTGCTAATGTCCTGATGGCCTGATTTCTTCTCTTAATCCTTCTTGCCTCCGCCGCGCGCTGTTCCTCGGTTGCAAAACTATCGTTGCGCCTGAAGTCACCAAAATGAAGTAGGGAAAGTGCGATTCTAGCATACACGATGGTAATGATCACTAAGGGTATTAAATACTGTAAGAGGAAAAGTGCTAAGGTATATGCCTGTTTGTGACGAAAGCTCGGCCAGTTTTCGTGGCATTCACCAGGTGGGACAGACGTTGTCACGATAGCAAGGGGTAAGACGATAATGAACGCTGCAAACCAAATGGCGGCCACCCAAGCAAACGCCTTTTGTTGCCTCAGTTTCGGCCGGTGAGGGAAGACAATCGAACGACAACGTTGAAGCGCCATGGAGGTGATAGTAAATATGCTCAGGAGGTAGAAGATTGTGTACATTGGCCAAAGAAATCGGCAGTAAATCTCGGACTTTGCGATGACCCCAAACAATTCGTAGGTCGTCAAAGGTAGAAGGGAGGTAAGGAAAAGAAAGTCTGATATCGCCAAGTTCAGGACTAATATCTGGTATGCGGACATGTTCTGTCTCCGACGAAAAATAACAATAATAGTAAGCAGGTTACCCAAAAATCCTACGATGAAAATCGCTGCATAGACTGCCACTCTGATATAAGTTTTGGCCTGCATTTCCATCGTCAGATATCAGGTCGTAACTAAGGCGGGTTGGCATTACCTCAGTAAAATCACATCTACACTCTCCTTCCAACGTTTGCGGATTAACTTAAGTGACTTTACTTTCTCGTCGTCTCTTCTCTTCTTTTGTCGACCGACATTAGTTATTTTCAATTATAATCGTGCTGAGAAAAATTAAATTTTTGAGTGATGGCTGATCAACAATTGTAAGAATATTCATTTTGAGAAACCTGATCTGTCATCTCACGTCAGTTGTCAAACCATCGAACCAATAAGCACAAATTGAACTCGTATAATTCACGGAAAATAAACCAATAATTCTATGTGCAATGTTCCCGCCCAGGTAATTAGACCCGGGGAGGCATTATATTCCCTCTATTTAATTCTAAACAAGGGTTTGTTTGATGACGATGCGAAATACAAGCTTACGTCATACAGATGTGGGAAGACCTTTTAATCGTATTCGAAGATCATGAACGCAGCAGGTTTTTATTTCTTTAAATATCCGCGGGTTTGTTGGATTTAAAATGATTTCTGATTGATACAGAATTTTCAGTGGGAAGTTGTTTACTTGACAAATGCTTCGCGCGCGCGACATTACAGTTTTTCACGTAAACTTGCGCTTCCGCGAAACCACCGATAGTTTCACGCCAAATTCAGAATTTCATCGGTGTTTAGGAAAAGTTAATGAAAAAACGAGACTTTCCTTTGTTTACAAGGATTGGTGATTAGCATTTGTACAAGGTAATTACAAACAAAAATCTAAATGTCAGTTTGGCAGGTAAAACTCTTTGTTGTCGAGTAACTAATTAAAAAGAAATAAAACGAAACAAGCAAGCGACATTTCATATTAGGGAATGTCTAATTATTGAACAGAGTCAAGCATCTCTGAAATAGAGAGAACAAAACGTTCTTGTTCTTTTGCCACAATTCGATTCTCGACATCGTAATTTACCCTAGAAAAGAGATTAATTAGTCTGAATCTAAATCTTAATAAAATGAAAATCTTTGTTTGGTTTAAGGGAAAATAACCCATGTTCTGTATATCAATATCCTGACACGAATTTTATGTCTATAGTTCTACATCTAATAAGATTACTTTTCTTCCTTTCGAATATTTTTCGGAATAGCAGGAGGCTCAAAAACAGGAAGCCCAAAAGTTTTCTTTATGTAAATATGTTACGTGGAGAATTGTGCTTTTTCCTTCTCGGTGATCAGCAACTTTAACGCCTCTTCTGAGCACCTACAAGAAAGTAAGTACTCCTCCTCAAGACCAAGAATCACTGAAAGACGGTCACAATCCCGAAAAGTATATCACGTGGATAATCATCCGTGATTGGTACTTAGTGCGCTGACCGAGCTCAATCATTTTCCACTTCGCATGATAATCTTACACGTGATAACAAAAAGGTAAAAATCTTTCACTCAGTTATTGATATTAAAGCTATTAACTTCTCTACTTTGAGTGACACAAAAGCAATTACTTTAAAAGCGCCGAGTTTCCGATTACTCGGAAAAACGACGATAATCTTCACTTATTAGCATAAAGTCAGTAGAATGTCTAAAACCCATTCAAATTGGAGAAAATTTGTACAATAATGCTTTAACTCAAAAAATGCTGTCAGAAATTTGAAATTAAAAATGACTTTGAACAAAAAGGACGAGAATGAATCGCAGTTTTAGCCAAGGACTGGAATGTCTATCTCGTTGTTGTGCTATTCGATAAAATGCCATTTATTCGTCCACTTTCAAGACTTTATCTTGTTTTATCCTCTCTGGCTTTATCTCTTCTTGTTCATATTCTGCACGCTATTAGAATACATTTCTTGGAAGGACTGTGCGACTAGTCTTTAAAAGGAAAACAGATATCAGAATTGTATCTACAACGAAATGTTTTTTTTACATGTAGAAAAAGAGAACTGGGATGGGAAACCTTGGTCAAAAGCGATTAGACAGATATATAGTAATGATAAGATTCAAAAGTTAGATAGCGAATTAAGACCAGTATATGACTATGGATTCTTATCAGCCTCTATATTCTGTAAAATGGTAGTAAGTAGTCCGTATGGCATCAGACTGATAACTATTCCTATTATCATTGACATCTCTGCCCGAGTGAAGAACTCGATGATAAAATGATTAGGATGCTCGCGTCGTCTCGTCGTCGTCTCTCAAGTTGGGTAAGCATGCGCAAATCACGATGAAGTTTCCCTTAATATGTTTCGAGAGAAACTCTTATATAAGTGTTCAGCTTTAAAAATTATCTTTTAAGGTTGCGCAAGTCCCTCCCTGCCGAAAAAAAGGAAAGAAAGGAAGATAAAAAATAAAAAAAAAGAAATGAAAATATTTAAAGAGGTTGTACCATCAAATCCTTCCGTGACCGGCATATTGGTTTAGAGGCGATCAGTCTGATTGCATGGCAAACGATTTACTATAGGCAAGAACTTCCCTATGAGATATCATTTAAAAGAGTTTTTTGTAAACATTTTTAAAAGAGGGACTTCTATAATCCACTTGGTTGAATAAACAAACTGTTACAATTTTGCATTTGCGAGTAAATCTTACCTCCTTACTTTCTTGAAAACAGGTACTGAGTATTTCTATTCCGACACGACACCAACAGATTGAAATATAACGTATACGACTCTAAATTGAATGTGGGGAATTGATGGTCGACTGATTCGTTTTTAAATGCTACCAATTTGATATACCGCCTGCTTCAGTTATATGCGATGCGAAAAAAAAATAGACTCTGACAAGTTCGTGACTCCAACTAAGTTGAGACTGAGACGTTTTGACAGTTGTGATAGGAAGGGGAAATACTTTCTCTCTATTGCAGCTGTAGGTTTCCCCAGGCAAACTGAAACTTGTTGGTTAAAAGAAGGATTCAAGTGAAAACAAAAAAATCGGCTAAGATGTCTGGAAATCCTCCGAAAACAACGATTGTTCACTTTCTTTTTGTTTACGTTTTCCTCATAACTTCGTTGGCGCTTGAAAGTCACCTGGAAGGAACTTCTTCGTATTTCTCGATAATCAGTAAAGCTTCTAAAGTAGACAGGTCACTCGAAGTGCATAGTGCTGTAGATGAGACGGAATGCATGGCTCTCTGTAACAGACGACGCGGCTGCTTGAAAGGTATTTATAACCAACAGAGTGGATCTTGCTTCTTAGAGATTGACGATTTCAGTCATAGCATAGCGAACAAACACCACGAAGACGTCATCCCAGAGGAAGGAGATTCTGTCTTTTTTACCAAGGTATAACGTAAAAATCTCTGATGCATGTCATTTTATGAATGGGCTTTCCGATGATGTGGGCTCGTTTTCTTTTTTAAGTCCAAAGTTTATGAATAAAACACATCCCCACGAGATGAAAACTCAGATCTATGACAGCTAAGCTATAAGTATATTGGCAGAAAGAAATTCACTTCTTATTTACTTGCTTTGAGCTACAAGCTAGAATAATTTTGACCAAAGGTAATGTTATTTTTTTTCCTCCCGTAAATCAATCCTGAATTAAAGATATAACAGCGTTGTTAAAAGTTTTTCCGACTGCAAGATCAAAACTGAAGCAGGTAGAATCCTCTATTTCAACATTATGGAAACAAATGATAACAGGCTGATTTCCATCGAAGGGGATGCGTTGATCTTTCTTCCACATAATTATTTAGGGGGAAATGTGGTTTCTAAAAAGTTAAGGACAATCTAAACCAATTGTTGAGAAAGGGTAATACCCAAAAGAGTATTTCAAAGGTCCTATAAAAACATAGACAGCCATTTTGTTCCATTCGACGGAATCCTCCCCCACAATTATCAAAAGAAGAAAAGGGGGGGGGGGTCCAATCGTGAGAGGAAACTCCCTCTAGTATGACAACAATTGATAATGTAGATGCCTCCCTGTGGCCCACTCCTTTCACTTACGCCCTAATGCCGTATGCAACTATAAGTACTTTGATTAACCCGTAAAGAAACGTTATATTGTGTCGTTAGGAAAACTTCTTGCCTTGAATTTTTTTTCTTACAATAGTTAAACAGCAAACATCTTATGACGTTTTCCTGATGTTTCAGCTTAGCCACAATTTTAATTTTGACGAACGAAAATTTGAAGAGGAACCCGCTGGTAAGCATAACCTGTTTGAAAGGGTAATGTGGAAAGTGCCAACGTTATTTCACGATCGTACCTCACCGAAATACAACTAAAATGTTTCCAAAAATGAGAACCATATGTAATAACCGTTTGTTTATTGGAAATCAATTTGGGAAATGTCAAAAATCGTAAAAAAGATAAGGTATAAACCAAAGAATGGAAGTTAAATATTAGTGTTTTTCATTAAATGAGTGCATCGTTTTACAAAGGGGAAAGGGAACTCGATTTCTGTTTTCTCAAACATCCTAGAAACGGATTTTTGCTTTATACCTACATAGCATTGAGCCCTCAGAGGGAAAAAGAAAAACGGATGAGTACCCCTATATAAGAAAAGAAGAAATTCTTTTACGGTTGTGTCATATTTAAAAATGATCGTGCATCACAGCCGCCACATTGATCCCTCATCTAGACTCAGATCCTTCCCTCCTCATCGATTTTGAAGACAATAAAATTAATGGTTGTTCAAGTATTTTGTTAATAATTGAAAAATGATTTTTCCACGCAGGACACTTTCTGTTATGACTCTCCTTACTAGAGTAGTGTAAATTCATACGAACCGTCCTCAGCTCTTCAAGGACTGGATACCAATGAAACTTTATCCTCAGCTTATTGGACCACTTCACTGACCAAGTTGTGTTTGGGCATGAAGACAGGAAAAGCAATAAGCTGGGTCCTAGTTTATACCGGGCACGTGCATAGCCTCCACAGCTTGATCGCTGATGGTCAACCCAGGCACACGAACCTTACCCTAGAGAAGTGGCTGTCGTTGATGCCGAATTCGTCTCTGGAAAAATTTTGTCCGAAACAAGGATTCAATCCTAGCATAGGAAACCAAAGAGTCAGGGTCGGAGTGGTAGCAGGAAACTCATCGCTTTCAAGTCTAATCGGATTTGGTTCCACTGGAAATTATACATGTGGAAATTATAAAGGAAACGGTGTATTTGGAATAAAGCATCTTTCAGCATTTGGTTACATCTTTGTGCAGTAAAACAAGGGTGTAATCGAGGAGGAGTGGTTTGGGGTGGCGCCAAAGGTGCATGTGCATGTGCATTGTGTGGAAACGTTGTTATTGCTATAGGTGTAACATCCAAGCAAGTTCGTAAAATTCTAGTAAGAAGCTATTGTAAGAATTTCCTGATAAAAATTATGTCGCAGTGCACACACCTTTATAAATATTAGAATGATTCTAAGAAACGGTTTGGTCAGTCTGGTCACTCGCTCTCGCTATCTTCTTTGACAGCGAGTCACTCAGACCGTCTAACAGACAGAAGACGAAGGAGACTGGTACCATTTTTCGAACTTTTATCAACGTATCGAAGCCTTAGTCTTACATAACTATTTTGCAATTGTTACCTTCAAATTTGGTATTGATTTATTGCAAAAAGGGTTACTGTGACTTTTTTGCGTAACCCCGATCCCAGTCGTTCGGTAAATGAGATGTAAGAAAGGAACTAGGTCCGACAACATTACGCTGACCAATTGCATTACGCAGTCGCATTTCCTCTTCAGTCATTTGAAAAATGGCGCTCATGTGTTCTGGTGGAAAACAAGCTTGTGTTTCAAATAATTCCTTAGGAGCCGATCAAACAAGCCAGTGATCATCATTTCAGATAGGTATGTCGTACTTTTAAAATTATCTCCGTGTTATGATAGATCTCTTCCTTCCTTACACAAGACCTCATATTTTAAAATAGTGACGAGCACCACAAAATAGGTATTAAAAACGTTGTAATGGGTTTATCTGTTTCAAACACATGGACGATCATTAAAAAATTAACTATCATTTGTATTCATAACTTACTCGTTGACTCTATCGACAACTTTAGGAAAACGTTGCACAATTTTTCATGTGTCTCATTTGTATGGCTAGCCAATCACAATGCCAAAAAAGTCAGCTTAACAAATGATGAAGAAAAAAGCATGCAGATGATGTAATGAATGTCGATTAAATGCGTAATACGTATGACTAGCAAGCATATAATGAATTGTAACTAGACCTTTGACTGATCTTTTATTGGTACCTGTAATTTAGTTACAGTGTATTAGTTTTGCTTTTGGCATGTCTGCAAGAAATCCAAATTAGAGTCATGAAGAATATTAGTCAATTATGATGACTATATGGTTTACAAGTGGGTATACACATGGAATGTCTGTGATATGTATGCATGTGATCTTGAGTAATTAAAAATGAGAGAATATCTTATCTTGAACTCCTGCTGCAACTCAGGAATATAAAATATGATAATGACAGTCTTATTAGTATTCTCTCCTGCCTAGCTGTTACTGCATTGAGTGATTAAAAAGAGAGAGAACATCTTGTTATGATTTCCTGCTGCAACTCAGGAACATAATATATGATATTGATAGTCTCACTAGTTTTCTCTCCTGCCCAGCTGTTACTGCATTGAGTGATTAAAAACAGAGAGAATATCTTATCATGGTTTCCTGCTGCAACTCAGGAACATAATATATGATATTGACAGTCTCATTAGTTTTCTCTTCTGCCTAGCTGTTACTGTATATTCACAGTGGATTAATATATATGTTAAAATCAGTAGATTGGGAGATTACTTGTTGACTAATTTTTTTTTCAAAATTTAGTCTTATAGTATAAAAATAGTTTTTTTTAATCTCTCTTGTGATATAAATGATGAATAGTTGATTATAGAGTTCACACAATATATACTGGTGAGTAAGTAACTATTCAGAGCACCTTGTGATAGCTGGTTAAAAAATTTGTAAAGGATTTTTTTCCAGGAGTTCACATTTATCATAGTGGTAAAGAGTTCAAGATTTCTGTAGCTAGGAAATTTTTGTTGTAGAAATATGGTTGTTATTGATTGTGATTATATAGATAAATGAATGTTTTAATTGTTTTTCTCATATATAGAGTCAAGCAATCAATTCGATTGATAGCAAGATTTCGTCTGCTCTTCTGCATTGAAAGGCAACAATGTTTAAAGTTTATGTTTTGCTATATATAGCACCTTAATTTGATTTGTTTTGGTGCACTGTCATCATTATTTCTTCATGGGTCTGTTTTCTCACTGATGGGCTGTTGGGCTCTTTGATTGTAGGCATCCCTGCTTTGGGAATTGTAATTCTGCTTTCTCTATTGATGTTATTAAGATGAGGTGTTTCATGAAAGTTTTATAAGGTTTTTTGTTTTTGATGGTTGAATGTCAAGTTTGATTTTAATGGTCTACACATAGTGAATGTAAATTTGATCCAAAAATTACTGTGGGTGATACTGACCATAATTAGTTGAAGCAAAAAGTAGTAAACCAAAGACACTTTTTTTGCTCTTGTAATTTCTTTATTCCAGGTAAATCAAAATTACAGAGAAAATCTGGCAAGAAGAGGTGATCTTGTTTGTTGTTTGCATGATTGATGCTTTGTACTTGCCTGCAAAACCCTCTCCTAAGGCCTAGTCACTATGGCTGACTGCAGCTTATTTTAATTAGGAAGATGTGTCTATTGAGAAACTGTTGCCAACATGTTATGAAAACTTACACAAAGAAATAAATGTGTTGTAGAACAGATGAAACATTCAGTTCATTGATATTATAACATATCAAGGAGTCATATTACTCATACAGTTGCTGGCTGGAAGATGTAGCCTTGCAATACATACATTTCTGTTTGCTCACATGCATATGTTTTAAGTCACAAGTAAAGTTATTGATAGAATCTTGCACTGTTTTATGACAAATTACATATACTGGGATATTGGTTTTGAGATGTAATTCACTCCAGCACTTCAAGTGGGTGACTAGAAATAAATTTCTCCAAACAATAGACTTTATATTTTCAAGAAGGAAGGTGGTAAGAAGAAATTCAATGCTAAGTTATTAGAGCTAAATTATGTTTAAAGATATGTATGGCATATTATTCCAAAACTTCTTGTAGCAGCACAATGTTACAATTGTATTGGACACACGAAGTTGCCTTTTCTTTTTCATCTCTCAAACATTTTAATTTTTCTCAATTTTTTTATGTTTGCTTGCATAGCAGTAAGTGCTTGTAGAGAGTGCCTCTTTTCTAGCAATACAGTAAAGTACGTGTACTTCATTCATTTTTTTATATAATGTTGAAAGAATTCTGTTCATAATTCACAGTTGCAAGAAATGTCAAAGGTTTGAACCTTTTCATCATTTTGATCTAACCCTGGTCAAGTTTTTTAAATGCAAGAAAATAATATGGCTCGTCTTTGCTTATGTGGTGTAAACTGTTTTTCTGGAAACAAGCACGAACATTTGCCAATTCATTTTCAAATAAGATTAGCTTGAGGTCAATCGGTGAACTCGATAAAATACCTGAGGGGGAGGTGTTGACTTACAATTATTTTCCATCCCCCGTACCCCCTGGCAATGAACTGGTGGCTCTCTTTTCGCAACCAGTTTCCTCACGGTTCACTCTTCATGATTGAGAGATTTGAAAAACTTGTGAACATCATTTACTGTCAGAACCATTCAATCTTAGGCTATTGTTTTTCTTTTGGAAGAAAGGAATGGCGGTTTTAAGCGTGGTTTACCTCGCGTGATTTCTTGGTTATGAATGTTCGTGACGGGAAATACTCGTCCAACATCTCACCCTTAATTGTTTTTGATCGATATCTTTGCCGTGAGAAAAATGGCACTTCGTTAGTGCACTTTTCATTGTTTTCACTTTACGCTTGAGCAAGCCAGCTATTTAAGTAGATTTTGTTTTGTCTTGGGTTAATCGTGTGCGGAATTCAATAAAGCTAATCATTTCTGGAACGTTAAGAGTGGAAAGAGATTAGCATGTTGTCTGTTAAATGTCAACTTGGCGCCGCTCCAGTTTAGAAAACCCTGCTTATTTTTGTAAATATAAAAAAACTGTTTATGGCTGTTAGTTCGAGTGCAATGTTAGCTGACCACCCAAGGCGTTCTTGGCATTCGAGATGTTTCAACATCTTATCAAAATACGATTTGCTTCTTACTTTACACGACTTTTAAGTGATCATCTAAAATAATTGACAGCGGGACTGGCTTTAAACTGAATCAATCGATAATATACGAGGAAAATACAGTAATATATTCATAATATTATAGCTGTAAAATACCTCGCGGCAGTTTAACTAATATCGAACGTTTGTCGTAATGACTGGGGCGTGATAAAATTAGAAGTTCTCGTTTTGTTTTGTTTCATTACGTAAAATGTCGTTCAATGGAATATTATTTTTCTAAGGACAGTTTCCATTTTTATCAACAAAACCACCTTGACTGGTGCCAGAATGTCGAAAATAGACCACTCAAGATATGCAAAACCCCCAATAGCGCTTTATTCAAATGAACCATTTGTAAACTCAAGGCTTTTCCACTGTACTATTTACATAACACTGCATGTAGATTGCTTATAATGGCCTCGACAACATTAAGCGATTTCCTCTTGAATCTCAGAGGAAAGTTCACGTGTAATTATTGCAAGGGGTCGCTGAACAATCCAAAGATTTTACCATGTCTACATTCTATCTGCTGCGGTTGCCTCCGAAGGCTCGAGATGGAAAGCCTTGGGGTGGAACGAGCTAGTTGTCCTTCGTGCAGAGCCGAAATCGAGCTACCGGAAGGATCTAATATTGAGAGTCTTCCTTCTCCGCTCTACCTGAATCGACTACAAGAAATGATCAGAATTCGAAACAACAACCCTGAGTTAGCTTGTGGGAGCTGTGATCGAAAAGCAGCTGCGGTGTCCTATTGTTTCGATTGTAGATGCCTCGTTTGTGTCGGTTGTATTGAGGTACACGCGCGAATAAAAGTGATGAAGTCTCACCGCATTGCCGAGCTGAAGGAGTTCTCATCGAAAGATCTCCCTGTGTTAATTCAAGCCCCGTTGTTGTGCCTTGAAGATGGACATAAGCATGAAGCGCTTGATCAATTCTGCAAGGATTGTGAGAGGCAAGTTTGTGAGAAGTGTATTAATTCCTCACATAAGGGCCACAACCTACTGCCGATCAGCCAAGCGAGTAGAGAAAGTAAGAAGCGTATTTTACATGCCATGGATGGTTTGCAGGACAAAATGTTGTCATGTCGAGGAGAGATAAAGCGAGTCGATCAGAGCTACAAAACTGTGGAAAGGAGGGTAATTACAGCACGGCAAGAAGTGTTGAAAAAAATTGAAGACTTGATCACTTTATTGCGAAAGCACGGAGATGAAATGCTAGCTGAACTAGAGAGTGTTTATAAAGATCAACAGCTTTCCATTATTAAACAGCGGAAGGAGCTTGAATTACAAATGGGGCAATTGCAAAAAACTCATGAATTTGCTAATGAAATGCTAGAGAGAGATATCGGGGGCGAGATTTTAGACATGGAAAGATCGATGAAAAGACGATTTCAGCAGCTTATGGCCATGAATACCAAACCAGAGCCACATGCACAGAAAAGTATAAACGTTGATTATATTCCAGATCCAGAAGTACAGAAAACTCTCTCGCAGTCAGGTCTCGGGCGAATTTTTGTGAGTTTTACAGACCCCGCGACCTCGGTCGCTGAGGGAAAACAAATGACCCAACTTCTCACAGGAACCGGAGAACGAATCGAATTCACGATTCAAACGAAAGATTCCGATCAGAAACCGAGTTACTCTGAGAACGATCGTGTTTCGGTCCGTATTCAATCAACCAAAGGTACGGTGATTCCCACGAGAATCGACGACAGGAAAGACGGAAGTTACCTCGTCTCCTACACCCCGTTGAAACCGGGTGTGTACCAAATCGACGCAAGGGTTCGTGGCGAGCCAATCAAAGGAAGCTCGTTCACAGTGCACGTGACTACTCGAGCAGAGTATCTTAAGGCGAGCCGGATAAGCCTGGAAAATGCTTCTAAACCCGACCAATATAAACCTGTCTCATATTTCGGCTGCGCCGCTCATGAAAAGTTCCAGATCAAAAGGCCTTGTGGTCTTGCAGTCAGTTCCTCGGGAGAGGTCGTCGTCGCAGACTCGTGGAATCGTCGGCTTCTGATCTTTCGTCAAAGGAGCAAAGAGAAATTGCAGTTTGAGAGCAGAGTTCTGGAGGGTAGCGTGGATTTGACGAATCCAGTGGGAGTTGGGTTCAATTCTGAAGAAAAAATCATAGTATCCGACAGTGACAACCAAATGATTCACGTGATCGATCGATGTGGCGTGACCATCAAGACATTCGGAAGTGACGTTCTCGAATGCCCGTGGGGAGTTTGCGTGACGCGCGAGGGCAGAATTACCGTGTGTGACTGGGGGAGTGCTACTGTCAAAGAATTTTCCCAACAAGGAAAACTTCTCAAAGAGTTCGCCAGTCGATCCTCCGCCAAACCTTACTACATCGTTCATCACCATGAAAAATACTTCGTAACCTTTGATTCACACTGTGTTGAAGTGTTCGATAATGGAGGTAACTTCCTGTATAAAATTGGCGAGAAGGGTTCCGGTGAAGGTCAGCTAAGGGACCCGAGAGGAATGGCGATTGACAGCAAAGAAAATCTTGTCGTGTGTGATAGTGGGAATCATCGTCTCCAGCTATTCAGCACAGACGGAAGGGCTTTTGCGTTTGGAAGTCAGGGCAAAGAGGCGGGTCGATTTGACAAGCCTCAAGATGTTGTTGTCTCATCCGATGGCAGGTTATTTGTGACTGATTATTGTAATAATCGTGTGCAGGTACTGCAAAGGAGCAACAGTGAAGCGCTGATTAATTAGAATACGCTATAAAACCGCAGAGACAATGATTTATTGTTGACAAGTACAAATGGTACTTCAGTTTTGAGTGTCCAAGAAATCTTGGCTCTGAACTCATACATTGACTTATTTGCACCACCATGGATTATAAATGATTCTTAGCGAACTTTCTCATTTATTAGCTTTTTGCTAAGTCGGTCATGATATTTTAACCATATTTACATCAGAGTTGCGATCACGTGAAAACTTGTCAAAATTATCTCTTATAGTTGTATTTCAAACAACAATCCATAATCTCTTGATTTCAAAGAAATTATCTTGCGCGAAATCCATCGTATCGCTGGACCACTTCGATAAAAACTGTAGGGTTACTAGAATAAGTTCAAAGAGATTCAGTTAAGATGAATAAAGAAATGTATCTCTAGGATATACTTAGTCATACAATGGTCCGCTAAGCGGTTGAATTATTAATGTAAATAAAAGTATGTCTTCGAAGTATAGTGAACTCTATTATTCAAAGAAAATTGTCAACTTCCAAAGCTTTCATATCACAGCTCAAGTATTAAATACCTTTGCTAAAAACATTGTTTCACTCAGGGCTTCCAGGTTTAATTACGTTGTAGAAGAATATTTATACTGCTTATCTGAGACTTCTTTCTAGTTGACGTAATTAATTGTGTAAAGCGCATCAGTTATTGAACATAGACTGCGCAGGTAGCTGGGAATACTTTTTTGCTAAGGTCCTTATTCACATGTATTTCACCACAACTCACATCAGAATACCCCTGCAGACCAATACCAACGCCTCGCACTATATAAGGCGAGTTACAATTCGTGGTTTGGGACTGCACTCCAACCCGTGATTTCATAATCCCCTGTTGAGTGTCCCGGATGTTGAAGCCGCGGACCAAACAACTTGTGTTGATGTTTTGTGGGGTCCAAGGTTTGATGACAAAAGGACTTCCTGTCAAAGTTTTGCTAACACCCCCGTGCAATAGCGAGTAAAGCGAATTTGCACTGATGTTGACTTTCATGAGCATATTTATCTTGGCTCCTGTTTGAAACTTCATGGAAACGCAGAGTTTTCTGAAAGGATTGAGCCAATATCCAGGAAGTTTGTACTCTTTTCTATCTCCAATCACTTGGTAGGGAGTTTTTCTGTCCCACTGAGGAGAATCGTAAGTAAACGTGTTCTGAGAGTGAAGGAAAAAAATCTTTAGTCGAGTCAACTTGATCCTCGACGTGTCCTTAAGATTTTGACTAAAATGTGAACTAATTATCGTGAAAACCATTTCTCATATGTACAGTAGTGTTTCAGTTAAGTGCGGGCCGCTGATGAAATTCACACGAGTATATATTCATATCATAACTAGAAAGGAAATTGGTGACAAACATTTCTCGCACAAAGTTGTTTTTTCCTGGGAGCTGCTCCCTTGTCATGGGAACTTAAGAACATTAAACGTCGACTCCAAGCCGATTTCGTTGTTGTGATGATTTTTCGCTCTATCTTTTTAGCACGTTCGTAAAGCATTGTTCATGCCATTTGAACAAATGTGGTTCAACTACATTTGCTCAAAATAAATATTTCGCACCGTCGAGTAATTTCTTATGTGTTGCAATCAAGAGAGGATCAAAAGTTGATAATTTCTTGGTTGCAATAAAATGCATCCTATTAATGCGCATTTTCTTTTATCAGGAACAAGGAAATGCTGATTGTTTTGACAAAGAGTTGATAGGTAAAACGGAGATAAAATTTTCATTGCTTGTTTTACGTAATAACCTAGAAAAGTTATTAAGCTGATTCACTTTTTCGTTTCGCCAGGTCATGCGGTTTCTTTTGAAAAGTGTACCTTAGTCCTATGTACTTTCATCACCAGTGTCCAGGCTCTTTCTCCGCAGTCTTCTATACCGGTCATCCTACATCTTGTTCTCCACGTGTCATTACCAACAGTTATGTGGTAGAATCCGCTAGGGGCTTGACTATAAAGAAAATAATAATAACAGGTCTTACTTCAGGTTAATTGTCTTATCTGTTGGGCCTGGATATCTCTCCTATCAAATACAAGCACAGTTTACATTGCTGGGCTGTGCTCTAACGAAGCTTAGGTGCGACAGGCGACTAACTTACGCGTTTGGGGGACTTGAGTAACTTTCATTTTATTAAAGCCTTTAAGAGTTGGGCACCCTGGATTTCTGAGTTAAGAGACATGACTCAATTAGTGATTCGTTGATGAGCACAGTTTTGATTGCATTTCTTGTTTTTCCATATGGAGTTATAAGACAACTTATTGTTCATCTTCAGCATCACATGTGCTTGCAAAGTATTTAACTAAACAAACTGCTTTTTTCGGAAAAACCTAATGTTAATCATGACGCTAGTGCGATTCAATGATATATATCATTGAGGAGTTCATTGGGCGATGTAATTTATGTAAGAAAATTTTCCAGTGGTTCCTGGTTACAGGACTTGCATATCATGAAAGTCAACTTGTTATACACTACATTTTTTAACCTTTTGGCTCTATAAGGTAAACGGTTGAGGGTTGCCAGTCTGTGCCCCACCAGAACAGAAAATCTAACTGTCAATTTTCACCGCCCTTATGTTGCGTTGAGCGGCTTAGAAATTCCGCAAGCCTCCATGTCCGCTAAATACCTGAAGGCTGCGGGTTTGTTACAAACTAATGTGGACTTTTGGAGAGGAATTAAGACCCGACCTAACCGGAAATGTATGTAAAATATTGTTTATTTTATACATACTGAGATTTTCACTTCGAAATCTGTTGTCTCAAAACCCAGTTCACAGCTGTTTACAGCCAATCAAATCAGAGAAAAGACAATTTCACGTGTAGAGAAAACGTTTCGTCCAATCACGAAGAACCTTTCAGAAGTACTGGCTTTTCGCGCCTTCTCCTCTCTGCCCCGTCAGTTTACGTGAAACTTAGCTTCGTCGTTGGTTGTGTAAACATTTTGAAAAGGGGTTTAGAGTTCTGGAAGGGAAGGGCAACAAGCCAAACGCAGCAGAGGCCATAACAGACGAGGGGGTCAGCATTCTATACATGAAAAACCTGCTTGGAATCACGAGTGCTGAGGCTTTGTTGAACACGTTGTGGTTTATGAACTCCATTCATTTCGGGTTGAGAGGCTGCGACGAGCATCGATAAATGACTTGTGGAGATGTTCAACTTAACAGAGATGCGGACGGAACTGAATGTTTTGAATATTCCAAACGACAGACCAAAATACGAACTGAAGCGGAAATTCGAGATATCAGATCAGTCAAGCCTAAAGCTTTCGCTACTCAAGACGGGCCAGATGAGAGAAACCCCGTGTCTGTTTACAAAATTTATCGCGAGATAAAACCAAACTCAAGGCCGACCACCGAGGCCCCTTTCTATCTTAGTATCAACTATTCAAAGAATTCTGGTAGATGTTGTTTTAAGGCAAGTGCAATGGGGTAAACAAATTTAACTCGTTAATGAAAACTATGGTAAACAAAGCTGGACTCGACGAGAAGCGACGACTCACGAACCACAGCGCAAAAAAACGATGATACAAAAACTTAACGACCGCAAAGTTCCCCCCACTCACATCACGCAGCTTTCAGGTCAGCGTAATATGCAAAGTGTAAACAACTACAGCTCTGTTTCTAAAGAGCAACAGAAGAGTATGTCATTGATACTGAGCTCAAAGCCTTCAACATGCAATACCGCGAGCGACGCAAACAACAATGCTTCACGCACTGCTCAATCACCACTTTGACGATCGAAGCGGAGGCTTCGTCCATAAAAACCTCGATGGTTCCTGCAGCTGGTCCCTTCAGTGGAGCCGTACTCCATGGTGGACGATTCAACATGAAGTAATCTATATATCTCGCACAGTAATCAGTCACCTACCTGTTCTTGAGTTGAATGTCGCCACAAGACGCTGGTTTGATAGAATTAAAAAAAAAAAGGCAAAAGAGGGTTTCTCAGAGTGATAACAAGTTAATTATATGGACTTGTTTATGTCCCTTGGCGGGTTGCAAACAATTCAATTATGTGTTACCATAGCTGCTAGTAGCAGTATTATCTTAGTTTTCTGTTATTCTTCGTTTTTATTCGTTAAAAATACCAGAAAGTTAAAAAATAGACGATTGACCAGAATACCTTCGACGGTGAGCCTCCTTCAAGTGTACAGCTAGTAAGTTATAAGTTACGTTAAATTTAGAACTAAAAGTTGCACGCTTTCTAGTTTAATAAGCTAGTTTTTCGAAATCTGTGGAAACTGTTCCTTTATTGCTGATAGTTTACCTTGGAAATTGCACTTGCTCGGTGAAGTACAGTGTGGACTGCTAACCTGAAAACAGAAAATGCGATCTCGTATAAATGGTCATGCAAACATAATATTTATGTGAGAAACTTCCGAAAAATGACGAATGTATCTCAGAAACTGGACGTCCGTCCTTTGAGAATAAGTACGTTTTCTGTTTCGGTTTTTGTTTTCGATTGCAACTCAGTCGTTCAGTATGAGCGGAGACTCTTGCAGTTGGTAGCTAAGCTATCATAGATTTAACTAGAACAGACACTCTATATTCTGCATGATAAATTGGTTTTGTCAACTGAGTCGTTAATGTAATTTTGCCACTTTAAAATGTTTCTCAAGCTGGCGTTTCGAGGCGTTAGGCCTTCTTCTTTACGGGAACGTCAATCATTCATATCTATACTACTCGCTCATCAACGTCACAGCTCTTTAAATTTTAGTGCTTAAGGCCTTTTCGAGTGAAGGTGTCAAAATCTATATTGAGATACCTGATTAATATTAAAATTTGTTGAAGATATCCTTCAAAAAAAGAAACAAAAAGAGCTTCTTCAGCACTCTAGACACTGAAGATTCTCGTATGGAGCCTGATGAGATGATGCTAAATTTCAAACACATGCGGCAGAATTGAAACAAAATGAACCAGTTCTACAACATTTGTGCATACTTAGAAACTCAAGGGCTTTTTCTCCGTTGCAATGACCGTCTTTCATTTCTTTTTTTTTCTTTTCTTGTGTATTTTTTAATGTTTTTTATGTGTTATTTCTTCATTTCTCTATTATTTCCAGTGCAATTTAATTAAGCTAAATTTAATTCGGTTAAGAAGAACATTGACCTATTGATGCTATTTGCGGGTCAAAGGAATATCTGTGTATTTTTATATACATATTAGAAAATAAATTAAATTATGAAAGTGAAAAGTCTTCAGAGCGAACTTATTTTTCAAGGATTCACGTTTGTGAAATGGTGTCGGTGATGTTGGTAGATTAAGCCTTAAAAACTTTTGCAGCAATTGACTCTGACATCTCCAGAGAAAGATTTATCTTTTAAAGGTGATCACATGGTAGGAAATGGTCACTCTACCTTTTCCAGAATTACTGATGCGGTCTCAGGCTCTTGCTCGTGTTGGCTGTTTGGTTTGGCCTTTGTTCTTACTAAAGAACACTTTTTAGAAATGCCATCAAACACTGCGTAACGACATCTTATAGTAGAGCCGCACAGTGAAGCGCAACCATATTCATCATGAGCGTGCTCGACAGCAGAAATGTCTTGCTCCGTAAGCGTATTTGTTTGAGGTGAAATTTTGAAGTAGGATGACCGAAACAAGCGTATTTGGACGCACGGAGCTGCCATCAAAAAGATGACTTGAATTCGGATCAAAAATGACATTCTCAGTTGTAAACGGGACTTTCAAAATGAGCTCGGAGTGATGCTGGAAAAAAAATATGCCGAAATATTCATTATACTGGCTATGCAAACAGTAACTCGACGTATCATTGCGTATTGTTGACTTTAATTTACGAAGATATTGGCAACGCTCTATACTTGTTTACGTAGGGCCTGATGCAAGCAATGGAAAAGGTTAAAGATAATTATAAAAAATTTTGAGCCCTTTTCTCATCTCAACTTTCCCTTGTGTTTAAGCCGGTAAATGTAAATACAATGGCCATTTTATTTTCCATTGATATTTTTGTCATGTGTATCGTCAAGAATAGTATGCTTCAAGGAGTTTAGAGGCCATATGTTTACGCACTCATTTGATCACACTTAGAGTAAACAGGATTGCTAATGAAAGGAGACTTAAAGTAACGATTGCAAATAACGAATTTTGATTAGGTCTGGCTTCCCTTTGGAAACTTGTTTCTGTTATAGAACCATTCTCGAATGAAGAAGAGGCGAAATGACCTCACCCCTCTATTCTTTCACCCCCCCCCCCCCCCCCACAGGATCTCCCTATTAGAAGGGTCCACGCGTTTGCATTCTTTGTGGGCTCCGGTACAAAATGGACGCAGCCCAGACAAAATGGGAAGACAGCATATATTTCCTGAGCGGGGGCATTTGAATGGCGTTGCTTAGCAGATGGTTTTATTCATGGCACGATACCACTGAACTTTTGCGACTTTCTGCTGGTTTGCATAATACATGTAAGCCGTGAGTCAGCCTTTCTTTTTTCAAAACGTATGCTCAAGCGAGAAGCTAAAGAGACAAAATAAAGGTAGATTGGTTCTGAATATCAGCATTAATCGTCGAAGTTAGCAATCAAAAAAGCAGTGCAAGAAATCAGCTCAGTCATTCATCGGGCCGGCCAGACGGTCATTTCTTTTGTCAGGCTGTTTGTTTGTTTTTTCGTCTGTCTGGTTTTCAGGGCGTCCATCTGTCTGTTTGTCTGAGTGTCTGGGCTTTGGCTGTGTGCGTGAATAAGATATTGGGCTGATATATGGTAGCATGAGTAATATATTTTCATGGTACTATAGTTATACCTTAAATATAGGCACCGCACGAAGTTAATATGATGAATTTATTGTTTTAAGGACTCGAATTTTAATCTTCTATATTACCTTATGTAGATTGTGTGAAAAAGAAAGTCTCATACTCATTGTAAAACGTAGGTGTTACTAATGAATGTCTTTGCAGCCTGCATTTGGGCGCTCAAGAAGTGCCATTTGTCGGATGATTTGAAAACTGGAACAGAAGAAATGAACTTGCGGAAATAAATTCAAATAATATTTTCATCTAAAGAGACTTGAGTTAATTTTTGTCTACTCTCCAAGCACAAGAGTTAAAGCAGAGATTCTTTCGCCTTAAGTTGCAGTTTGTTGGAAAATATCTATCAGAATTGAATTGCATTGAGAAACATCATTGTTCACCTTTTTTAAAAGCACTTTTTCGCTCTCGAGTTCATCCGAGCGTCTTTGAGATAGGTCTGGTTTCACATTAACTAAAAAGCACCTTTTTAAATCTTTTTCAAACAAACCATATTTACATTCGACAGAGGAGATACACAATAAAGCACGACTGAAATCATCATAAACACCCGCAGTGATAAAGGCAGCTTCCTCTATTTGTGAACCATCTCAAACCTGTAAAATTTGGGAATATGAAGATCGGAACATGTGTCTCAACATAGTCCAGGCTTACAAAGAAAATAACAGGGATTTCTACAAGGTAAATCACTTTGCCGTGAACCATGTTTGGTCATCAACAGGCTACTTCAAATACATCTTCCTTATATTTGAAATTAGTTTTACGATGTCAGTGCCTTTAATGAAAACTCCGCCAATAGATTTTAGAGTAATGAAATGTCGAAGCAGCTGTTGTGTCAATAAAAAATTAATTTTTATTTGACTTTTTGGAATAGAGCAATAAATGCAACCAGCAAATGCATTTAATTTTTTCCATCATTCGACAGTTGAGCGTATTCATACAGACCAACGTTCTCTCTCTTTCTCCCACTACACAGGGTGCTCTAGTTTGCTCGCAGGTCCTTGCAATAGGCTGAACATCTGTCAGATACGTAGCAAGCTTTATTATGTTGACAGCAATGAAATAAGAAGATTTTTCAAAATACACTCAAATACATCCGAAAACTTTAAGAAGGTCCATGATTTTTTTTTGTCTTTTTAATGGTAGGCCGGGATGTTAAATGTGCAGTTGGCTCAGTATTAAAATAGAATGCGCTGTTTGAAAGTGTGCGATATGAAAACGATCAAGGATACTTGATATAAACGAACATTTTAATTACTCCACAAAAGCCGAGACCAGGTTTAGAATGTTTATTGTTACTGTATGTATATTCTGCAGAAACCTGGATATGTTTCAAAGGTCATTTGATTTTTAATAATGATATCACCGCATGTTATTGGCTTTCTGTCTTTATAGCTGATACCAAGACCACGCACCAGATATGGTAAGGAGCACTCCGAGGAGGACTGGGATACCAATCCAACGCGTGACTTAATCTGCCATGGGTGTGGTCCAAGCATGTTGAGGCCTTTCACCAAGCAGCGTTTGTTGATATTGGGTTGAGTCGTGATGTTGGACAAATCCACTGGCCATGTCACATTAATTCCTCTGTGAAGGGCGCAGTAAAGAGACTGTGCAGTGTAATTCAACAAAATAGCGGTGTAGTTTGGGGCATACAGGTTCCCAGTGATGGTCACACATATCTTGATGGAATTACGGAGCCAATATCCGGGGAGTTTGAGTTCACCTCTTAAGTCTGTTTTTCCATAAGGAGCTTGGCTTGTCCATTCGTTGGAATCATAAGAAAACTTGCTCTAAAGGTGAAATGGATGCTGTCAGTTGTATCCTCTGCTCAGGCGAAAAACTCGCAAATATAACTCTACGTGTCGTTCCACATTCCGACAGATTTGATAAAAAAATTGTTGGTGCCTTACCTAAACTTTCACACGAAGACAAACCGATATGTTTTTGATAATTAAGGATATTTAAACAAAAAACTGTCCCGCTAAAGCGAAACTGTGCGCGGCATTTGACATTCTGACCGATTTGGTCGAAAAATTGCACTTTTCGTACCAAAATTCTGCCATGAAAACACAAATAATTAGCCAAAATATCCGAGGAAAAACTGCTCCACCAAAGTGAATCTCTTAGATTTAATTCCGGGTTTCTCTAAGTTGCGGCAACTTTTTGGTACTTCTGTTAACCGGCGATCCATTTCTTGTGTAATCCTGAACAGATTCCGCAGTTAAGGCCTCATTTGGATTTGAGAAACACTGAAGGATAACTTAATCAACTATTTCACCAACCTTGGTAAAAAAATCCGGCATACCTTTCTGCCTTTGATTCTCATTATTAATTCCCATGGTCCCCTTCCACATCCAGGAATGCTTTTCATCCTACACCTTGTCTTCCACGTGATGTTACCAATTGTCATGTTGTAAAGGCCCCCGTGGCTTGAGCTGTGGTGACAGGAAATGACATTGAGATCATATTTCGCTACAGATTCGACTTCAGAGAGTTTCATTATTATTCCACAAAAACCGTAAAATAGATCGTAAAAAGAAAAACAAAACCGTGATAGATCGTGATTATTCTTAGGGGAATGTAACGAAAACGAACCCTCGTCGAATTTACATAGATTTTTTAATTCACGATCCATTAGGCAAACAGTCAAGAAAGGAAGCAGTTACCATTGCACGTGTGAGGATCGAGGCCACATGCGTTATGTTAATGTATATAAAGACCTAATACACCAAATTTAACGAAAGTAGATAGAGTCTATTTTCCTTCCCATTATCTGGATATTGATAGGCCGATATACGACGGAAACAACAAAAGCGAAATTGAAGCATCGTTTTCATAATTGGAAGTGAGTCATGTCCGATCTCTGATGATAATAGTGTTAATGTCTATTGCGTCCGCTATAATAAGAATGGGGCTGTTCCTTTCTTTCAAAAGATAAGTTTCAGAGGCATTTATTTATTAGATGCTGTTGCAAGTAACAAATACCTGTTTCTTTTTAGGATGTCAGCGCAGGAAGTTGGTGTGGTGTTCATTTGACCTTTTGCAATTAAAACGTGGGTAAGTAACTGAATGTATGATTGGTATAAAACGTCTCAGTTCAGTGAAGGAATCTTTACTTTAAAGATGGTGACAATTTGACTTTTAAAAATACATGCTTTTCAATTTTGTCAGACCGCCTTGATAAATAGTTAAGTAACTTTCGGCTGCTCTTCTGATCTAAGTGGATAATGGGAATCGGATGTGAAAAATGAGTCTAGATTGAAACGGATACATTTTTCCGTTTGTCTTACAAAGATCGATGCCGTCAATTTTTTCTTCAAAAAACCAGGCGCATTTAGCTGTCAAAATGTTCGTTGCCGTTGTCAAATACCTGTTTTGTCCTTTCCCTCGTCACCGTTTGACTCAGTGTGTAAACCAGACTTGCTTTTTGACGACGTGGCCACCTATCCCAAAGAAAACCATACCACTTTTTTTCCATTTGTTGCAAAAATCATATTACAATTTCAACCATTTACCATGTGCGCTTCCTAATGGAATGGGTTATGGAATCTACGAGCTGCTTTCCTCATCCTATTTTTTCCTGATTAAAACTCTGATTCTGCACCCTTTAACCCTTGAATCCCCCAAGACCTCATGGGTAATTCTCGTAATTGTCTGCCATATAATTCTTGTGATGTTAGTTCGGAGCATTTGGTATTGGATTAACTAATAATCCCGTGATTGATATTTTTTCCTCGCTCTTGTTACTCAGTTGTCTGCTTGATACTCTACTGATATTGTAAAGAGAAATTCTGTCTTGGTCACTCATGGGAGTTAAAGGGTTAAGCTAGCTAAACTGAGTGACAGCTGCGTGTACATTAACGAATTTCCTTCAATAATTCTTTGTTTACTATCAGTCAGAAATTAAAAAATAGTAGATAGACCACCGTTACAAATTTTGAAAAGCTGAGGCTATGAGCCCGATGTCGAAACTCTAAACTTGAGCTCGAAACCTCTGTTTTCTTTTTGATTCGTCATGGCGGTCTATTTGTCCTTGTGAACCACTAGTTGGTGAGTGCAGAAAAATCTATATTCGTTACCTTTGTCTAATAGCGGATCGCAGGACTTGTCGAAGCAAAATTGTCAACGCTGAAACCTGAATTGGGGCACTTGGGGAGGACACTTGTCATGGAAAATTGTATAGGATTTGAGATGAATCCTTCTTTAGTTTGTTTTCCTCGACAATTTTCGTTAAAGTTTATTTGCTTAGGTATATTGCCAATAAGTTTTCATCAAGACGTTTACTTGTGAACAAAAACTTTCCATTTTGAACGAAGATTACTTTTTGCAGAAATAATGACAACGTTTCGTGCATGATAGATTAAGCTACAAAAAACGTACCTTTTCTAGAAATAGTTTTCTCTCGCTTTCGGTCTCGGACCCATGAGTGATTTGGTGGTTCAGTTTTGCGTTCTCTTTCAGTAAAGAACACTTCTTCAAATCTTTGTCAAACACCGCAAAATGACACTCTGTATTGGTGTTACAGGTGAGGGCGCAATGAAACCCATCGCGAACGCTTTTTGTGATGAAGACATCTTTCCCGATGTGTAAATCTTTTTGAAGTGAAATTTTGAAAAAAGACGATCGAGACGTGTGCGTATGTACAAAATGAAGGCTTGCAAAGATAACAATATGGATTCGGATGAACGGAAACATGGTGATCCAAGTTTTAAAGTAATCCTTGAACATAGGTCAGAGGAGGGGAGAGGTTGCGTGTCAGCTCGCTTCTCCTCAGGTATCGTTTAAGAATCACAAAAGGGCTGTCAAGGCGGTTACATTAGCACGTGTTTAGCAAGAATTTACATTTTAATAATCGCAGAACTGTTTGAAATAATAAAGTGTAACATTTACAATGATGCTTTTCACAAACTTCAAACACGAGGTCGTTGCGATGTTCTTAAACCTCACTTAGATCTCCAGAGTCATGAATCAACTCCAGAATAGCAGTCACTGAAACCATTTCTTGTATTCTAGTGCCCAAAATTGTTTATAGAAATATTCTATAGACGCATATTTCCGCCGTTGCGTAAAAACCAGCTGGCTTTGGCGTGCCTGATAGAGAAAGAGACTCTGCCTGATTTGGTGAAACAAATCGATCCCGGAAAGGAGTAGCCTGTTAAGGACTCTGTACTATGCATTTGGGCTCTGAATTTAATTTGTGGGTTGTACTCGGGTTTTCTGTGCGAACTCAATTTGGTTTTTTTTCTTGACATTTTTCTACTTCAGAACTGAATGCAAACCCATATCCTACCACAAGGGAGACGAAATTTGTATGACTCCATATAGCTAAGTTTTTTTCAACGTTTTCAGAGCACAAAGTTTAGCGTTGAAATTTTAAATTAAAGTAGACCCACTTATTGAGCTCAATTATAATTGGCAAGGACTGGCATATGAAAATCTAGATAACCAAACAGGTGTAAGCTTAACACCGGGCTATATTTATGAGAAGACAAAGATGAAAGGTCCATCTTAAATCGTATTGAATTAACTTTTCCTAGTACCGTCTCTATAACATCAGGAAATACAAGAGACGCACAAAGCATGTGGCAGAGCTAGATGTGCACGATTTTTAGCCATACAACTTAATTTGCTCATGATGTGTAAATCTCCTCTGAGTGACGTTATGGGATGAAATATCACGTGCACATTTCGCACTCCTCTCGAGCAGGGAAAGGAACTGAATTAGTGCGTCACAAAGAAAACTGTTTAACAAAAAGAACTCGCTGTGAGATTTACTAAAGAAACCATGTCACTGTTCTCCTAGATTTTCTTTTAACCATTTCTCATAACAAATTCTTAATTGACTATTTAGATCACAGTATCACAACGTGCTGTTGGATGTCTTTAATACATACCACATTCGATCTTAGACTACGATTGAATGTAACTTTACAGCACTGCTTTCTGTAGCTCTTATTGCTTGAGATGTTACATTTACTGAATGTAGATTCTACAAAGAGAAGGAGACGTTTGTAGCGAATACTGGGGGGGTGGATTATTGTTTTTGCTTATGATCATATCACCACAACTGATTTCAGAGTGAAAACCAACACCACGCACTAAATATGGCAAGGAGCAGTTTGGAGACGATATGGACTCCAATCCAACTCTTGACATGATCTCCCATGACGGTGGGCCTTGCATGTTGAGACCAGGAACCAGGCAACTTTTGTCGATACCGGATGGAGTCGCGATGTGAGAAGAACCTGTTGACCAAGTCATCTTAATCCCCTGGTGCAGAGCGGAGTAAAGCGACTCCGCAGTGTAGTTCACCAGAATAGTTTTGTCAGGCTCTGCCCCAAAGGTGACACATATCTTGGTGAAATTTCTGAGCCAATATCCGGGAGTTTTGAGTTCGTATCCGTTTTCTATTGACCCATAGGAAGCTTGGCTGGTCCAGTGAGAGGAATTATATCTGAAAGTACTCTATAACGGGTACGAAATTTTTCCGTAAGAACACAAAACACTCATTGTAACAATGATTCAATACAAACACTAACATTTCTTCAAAGTGATTAATCCATGACTTAACTACCCTTGGACCTTTGATTCTCATAAGTAGTTCCCAGGTTCCATTTCCGCATCCGGGAATGCCTCTCATAGAACACCTTGTCTCCCACGTGATATTACCGAGTGTTATGTTGTAACGCTCACTTGGGCTCGAGCTGTAATGATAGGAAATGCATTTGTTATACGTTGTAATTTTTTTCAGTTGAAAATAAATTCTAAATGAAACCCGTTTAGAACTTTGCTTGATCCATGGACCTGGACTCGAAATGACTAAATGATCAGGGAGAGAGTTCACAAAGGTTTCTAAGAAGTGTAACATAACCCCCCCCCCTTCCCTTCCTCAGCAGGTAAATCGAAAGGGTGGGGAGGGGGTGGGTGGAAGGGGAGAGGCTCTCATTGTTTTGGTAACGGAGATCATTACAGGGACACTTGCGGGGCCTTTCTTATTTTTCACTAAGATGCTTATATGAATGTTTTGACTATTTTTTTTTTTTTAATGTATACCTATTTCTTTGCAGGATTTCATGACAAGACGTCCAGGCATTGACGTTTTGACCTATTATGCAAGCAAAGAAAATAGAAGGTTAGTGATATGTTTCGCAGTAAAAATTGTCGAATATTGATTTCATCTACTGATGAAATTGAATTTGTTCTTGACGAAGGGAGAGGATAACAGAGAATGAAATGAGGCGACAAGGTTAATCAAGTGTCAATTATGTCTTTCTTATGTCTCTTATTTTTATATAATCATCAGACCGCCAAAAATAATCTGGAAAGCGAGGCACTTGACTGTACACCCTCTCCTTGATCGATACTGTTCTGTATTTTTTTCCTTCAACCACTTCCTTAAACCTGACCTGAGGAGAGGCTGAAAAGAAGGTTTCTGATTAATTAGGACTGTTATTTCCCTTAGGTAATTTGGTTCTTCTATCAACTGAGTTGATAATGTAAATTGGCCACCGTAAAGAGTTGCAAAGCTGACGTTTCGGGCATTAGCCCTTCGTTAGAACTAATGGAGGAATTGCATAGAGCGAATCACTCTGACGAAGGACTTACGCTAAAAACGTCAGCTTTGAAACTCTTTACGGTGGCCAATTTGCATCATGAAGTCAAGTTATCTGCTATACTCCTCCTCCGACGCAGCACCACAGTTTCTTTAAAAAAGTACCCCCTTTATTGACCTAGTTACCGGTTGTCGTCTTATGTCCCCTCTTACCTCTAACAGCAGTTGTGTTCCCATTACTCTCGTTAGCGGCAGAATTATCGGATGACTCATGCTTGTTGTTCGCAACAATGGCCACCTACATGAATACAGGAGCCGGGTTATTATTTTTTTTCCTGAGAAAAATTGGATGATATTGTTTTTCAAATTTAATCTGTTTGCTTTTGATGAAATGAAGCTGTTCATTTTCCATGACCTCAATGCTTGTGGCAGCTGTCGCCCAAGCCAGTTACACTTACAGCCGCGCCACAGTTTTTATTTTTTTGCCTTTAAACCATGAGCGAGAGACAGAGAAAGAAAAATGATTGCCAAACTGCCTTATACCATAATTTCAATTACAAACGTGAAGGCAGAATCTTCACAACATACGTTTTTATTATCTAATGCGATTCTACTCAAGTTACAGTATTTTATCTTGATTTTCCTCTATTTCCATGCAGATACGTTGTTTTTTTATGTAGAAAATGTATGTAGTGCCTTAAAGCTGTAACTTGTTCCGAAATGGTGGCGATCTGCGATTTCATCTCATTCAGCTGGGTGTAAACGATGTTAGAATTTGCAGGTGATTACACGAAAATAATGCAAACTTTCAGCTCACCTTTTCCAGAAGTATTTTCTCTCTTGGCTCAACGGTGTCCTGACTCTGAAAGTTCTCTTTTGCTCTCAGTAGAGAACACTTCTTTGAAATCCTGTCAAACAGCGCAGAATGACAATGGGTATTAGCATTGCATGTCGAAGCGCAACTTGTCTCATCTTGCACGGTTTTTGTGAAAAAGATATCTTCTTTTGTTTTCATATCAGACTGTGATGAAATTTTGAAATAAGAAGATCGAAACATGTGCATTTGAACAGAATAAAGGCTCGCCCAAAAAATGAACCGGAATCGGATGGAGATCAACATTTTTGTTATTTTTAAAACTTGAAAAATTTTCTTCGATCGAGCAGACGAGAAATATCGTATGAATGGATTGGATTGCTGCACCTGTGACTTAAAGTATCTTGTGTGTTTCTAACGTCAATGATCTTCCTGAGGGCTGTCGAATTACCTATTTTTCTTAATTGATGATCCCCAAGTTTGCCATTTTAATGAATTGAAGCTGACAAATCTGTTCAATAAGATATGAAAAACTGCAATTGCGCTTGAGAGCCTCTCAAGCAACACTAAAAGGCATTGTGATGAACCACTTAACAGGAGTTGAAAGGTTTTATTCTTCTTTGAGTGCCAATCTTTACCACGATAGTCAGGAGAATGTACTTACACTAATAAGTATCAATCTCAAACAACACCCGGCCTGAAATATACATTTCACAAGCACATTTAAGGCTTTTTCCCAAATGATGTATTATAAGCACATCTCAGATGACCTTGGATTCCATACAAATTATGTATATCTTTTCTGTGGTTAGGGAAGGGTAACTGGCTTTGATTTCCAACTCTGATCAGCCAAGCTTTGCTGAGCTCTTTTTTATCATTGTTTTTGCAATTCCCATCTCATACAACTGCATCTTATAATGGGATGTGATGGGATGTTGCTGCCGATTGCATAACTTCGAAGACTGTTTTGTCCTTATTCATTAAAGGGCTACCAGAACCTAAAGGGAACATATTTAAATTTTTTAAAGTTATTATACACCAGGGTCGCATTAAGAGATTTCTCACGTTATTTTGCACTTTATTAAATTCAAACGCATGGACGTGAAGCTCTTCTTTCACTTTGATTGGGTATAAGTTTTAAGGCCCAGTTGTTCGTAGGGCAGATAATGCTATCCAACAGATAAATCGCTATCCAGCGATGAAAGGCAACCGAAGCGTAAGGCAGAAGAGCAAGACTTCGCTTCCACAAACAACGAAATTAAACACAGCTTTATTTTTTAAATAACGTTTTTCAGCTTCTTGTGTAGAAGCCATTTCGTCAATTTTCCGGTGAATTTCAGTCAATACAGATAGAGACGTGCATGGTAAAATTACGACTACTAACCACAGTGAAATCGAATACAATCCAAACTTAAAACGCGGGGAAAACTGACAAATATGCATGGAGCATGAAACTGAATATATCTTTCTTATATAGAGCACTACAAACTTTTTCAGCCAATTTTTCCGTTCCGAGGACATCTCACTGAGAAGAGATTATAAAACTGCTGAAAATGAGCTGAAAAGTGAGGCACTTGACTATGGTTCCTCTTCCTCCATAATCTCAATCGATCTGTATTTCTTCTGCGCCTCCTACCTCAACTTCGTTGGAGAAGGAATGGGTTCTTAGGTTTGTTAGCTGATGAATTACTAGATGACTCGTGCTCTTGGTTCGTCAAATTGGCCACTTACACGAATGTAGGAATCGGTCGTTAACTGTTGTACTGATCCCATGTGAAAAACGGAAGTGTTTGGGTGATTCCCCTCGCTAGTTGAAGCGGTTACCGCCCGTTCTAATGCACGTTTTGTGTTTTGGTTTTGTTTTGTTACGACCGCGAAAGGCAGACTTCTTTCCAGAGTACAGCAATTCTTAAATTTCTGTTCATTTGCCTTTGTAGACCTCACTGTACAAATCTTGACGACTCTTGCCTATGGAAGCTTTCTTTCAACTTAGTCGGGTCCTATGAAATATCATTTTCTGTACTTACTTGGTATATTACTGAGATACTGTTATTAAAAATATTTTACTTGTACTGAGATTGTACACTCACTGTGACCATTTTAGGAGATGATCACGGGTCGTCAACGTCACAAGCCTGTATACTTTGGCCTTACTTTTTCAAAACTATCTTTCCGGTATCACCAGATTCATCTGTATCATGACGTTACAGGGTTCTTTTGGCTTTCAGTATTCTTTGAATTTTGTCAAACAGCACAGAATGACAGTGGTTATTCGCGTTGCAGGTCGTAGTACAACTTATGTAATCATGAACATTTTTTGTGAGGAAGAAATCCTCTGCAAACAGATCAGACTGCAACGTAATTTTGAAAATATTAAGGAAAATCGAAACATGTGCATTTGAACAGAGAAAAGGCTTGCCATAAAAATGACAGGGATTCGGATTGATAACGACCGTGCTCTCATCTTTTTAAGCTGGAAAGTGATTTTTTGACCTACAGAACGGGAGACTTCAAATGGATAGATCCTATTTTTGCCCAAAGGTATCATATTCTGAAATGTTGACGTCAGTGATGAATGGAATATCTGTGGAACAGCTACTCTTAAGAGCTTCGACGAAACTTTTATGGTACTTGACATTCCCCAATTTCGCCATTTTAATGACTTGAGGCTTTAAAGGGCTCATATAAAAATTGTGAAAATTAACATGTGCGATCATGCATCGACACTAAAAGGCTTTGTTACTCCTAATATGGTATCGATCTGTAACCCCGAGATCCGGATTAAAACAATTACATTAGAACCCATTTCCTAAGTAGTTTTTATTTGCTTTTCTTAAAGAAAATTAGGTGCCACGGAAATTCTGTTTCTCCTTGTAGGTAGCAGGAAAAACGTTCCTCTGTTTGTTGCCATTGCTGATGAGCCTAAAATGGCAAGCTTTCATTTGTAATTTTCTTTCAAAAACTCCCATCGCCAAATCGATCTTTATTCGATAGGTTTTTGTTATTGATTGCTTTACTGAAAAATATTCTTGATAAAGCTGTAGTTTGGCTTTCCAATACAGTTTTTTAATTGATTTAGGTTTATTTACAACACTATTCTTTAATTTCAGAAACTTACTTACAGCTCATTACTTGTAATCAAGGAAAGTTGTTAAGTGTCAAAAAGCAATTACTTTTTTTATCGAATGAGCTAGTCAGTATAAGGGTCTTTAGTAACTCACAAGGACATAGCCTCTCAAGCCTGGTTCAAACAAGTGATGCAAATACAAACGCAAACACAACTGCAAATGGAATGGGTTGTGTCAAATTTTGTAAATTAATAATAATTTCACCACAACTAATTTCTGTTGATAGTTTGGGGCAAATACCAACTCCGCACACCATATAGGACAAAGTGGGACACTCGAGAGACAACTGGGACTGTAATGCAATACGTGACCTTATTCCCCACGGGAATGACCCAGGCATATTGAGGCCTTGTACCAAACAGTCCTTGTTGAAACTGACAGGAGAATTGATTTTGGACAAATCAATTGGCTATGTTTTATTGATTTCTCCAGTCATGACGGAGTAGAGTGACTGGGCAGCGTGGCTCACCATTACAGTTGGGTTGTCAATTGAGGCCTATATCTTTGGTTAAGTTTCTGAGCCAATATCCAGGCAGTTTGAATTCACCTGCTGCCAATGATTTTTAAGAAGCTTGACTGATCCAGTTGTGTGAATCGTGCGTAAAATTTCTCTAACTTTCTTTTCTTTGTTAAATTCGCCGGAAGCTTGAGATAATGGAGATAATAATTCTCTTGTCGCGAGTGCAGAAAAAGGTTGACGATCAAAAACGAAAAGTTCAGCACAGCATTTCTATACCCTGTGTAGCATTTTACAGCACCAAGGCTAGAAGAGCTGATCGAATCAGTGATACGAAACCAGGTTTAATAAAATCAACTGACAAATCAATTGGCTCTTTACAGGCGTGGCCTAGAATTCGAATTCGGGTCTACCGGGTCGCAAGTGTAGCACTTTAATTGCTCTATCTTTTTGCTTATACCTATTTCATCAAAATTTTATAAATAGATACCTACAAGCTTTTGATTTTCATCACCAGTTCCCATGCTGCGTCCCCCTTTCATCTTACAGCTCATATTTCACGTAATTTTACCCGTTTTTACCTCGTATACACCACCTCGGATTGACCTGTGATAAGAGGACACGACTCAATTCGATTTCACGTTTTATTATGGATATATACAAATGATTTCTTTTTAATTAATGCGCCACATGCTCAAAGGATACTAGAACCGGTTAATCTAGTGAAGCTAATTGGTCGATCTTTGTATCCAAATAGACCTGTGAAAATGGAATTTTATTGACGGAAGTAGTTCAAACCATGAAGAGGGATGCATTTGATTGATTATTTCCTCGTCTTTCAACTGCATAATCATGGCTCTGCAGGATGTCACGAGAAGACTTCCCTGTCGCACAGTCTTGACTTTTTCATGTTTTACAATGATGAATGACAATAAAAAGAAACAAAGGAAGAAAGAGTAGCTGAATTTCTCCCACAAATCTCTGTAATTCTCTCAGTCAGACTCCTTACCTCCGCGACAAAAGAAAATTCAATTGCTAAGAGCCCTAAAGATGCTACTCTGTTTGGCGGAATACTTTTCAAAATTAATTATCGCTTCTTTACAGGAGGTATATCTGTTGCATCATCTGGCGTAAGCCTGCTCAGAATCATCGTGGAACTCTTCAAGGCCATAAGAGCCTTCTCTCGAATGTTGAAGAAATGAAAATGTAAAATAAGAAGATAAACGCTCTTGAAGATGGAAACAGCAGGCTCAATTGAGTGGAGTGATGGTGACGCTGATTAGCTTTGTCATACTTTTACAGTGCCACAATCCTTTTTTTACTGCAGCTCTTGTTTGCGTGGTAATGGTGAACATAAGCGATAGCGACAGGGAACTGAATAGGTAGAGATTCTCTTTTTTGACTCCTCGATTTGATGGCTTAAAGACATAAAGGGTGCCTTTCGCCTTTTTCCTAAATTAGAAGAATTATTGATGACTTGTCCAGTTTTTTTTGATTAGGCAACCGGGGAAACTCGACACGAGGACCTCGGACTAGCCCTATGAGGTTTTAAATGTCAAGAATGATACATATATGTAAACACATCTTGCGCACCATCAAATGTGCATGTGCCCCGTATATTTAACATATAATTTTATTACAATTAACTAACAAAAAGTGACCTTTTGATCAGCTGTTTTCACCGTGTTACATTCGTTTTGACATCAAAAAATTTTTCCACAAACTTTATGTACCTGAAACACCCTAGGTAACTCTCAATTGTTACAGCTACCTAGTATGAGAAAACCATCAATACTTTCTAACATTGCAGCAATACATACTAAACTTTACTGCTCATCCTTTTGCTCTACCTTTAGCTGTTACAGTTACTGAATGTAGATTTTGCAAATAGCTGGAAAAATTTGTGTAGAATATCGTGGTGGTGAATTATTGTTACGTCTAATGATGATATCCCCACAACTCGTTTTAGGTCGTTTACTCAAGCCGATACCAACACCACGCACCAAATATGGCAATTCTGGGCACGTAGAAGGTCGCTTAATGGACTGAATTCCAATACGTGTCTTGATCACCCATGGGGAAGACCTTTGCATGTTGAGGCCTCTTTACCAAACAATTTTTGTTGATACCTGGTGGAGTCGTGATGGTGGACGCACTCACTGGCCATGTCTGCGTAAAACTCTCATTCATTACAGAGTAAAGAGACTGCGCAGTGTAGTTTACCACCATAGTTGTATATTTGGTTGAGGCGTTTGCCCCAAAGGTCATGATGACACATATTCTGGTGAAATTTCTGAGCCAATATCCAGGAAGTTTTAGGTCACCTACCTCCTCTACTGATCCATATCGAGCTTGAGTGGTCCAGAGAGGTGAGTCATAGTAGGAAAGATTCTAAGAGGTGAGAAAATGTTTTTGTTAATCACCATTTTAGTACAACAACTCAAAACTAGTGTCACTAGTGACATGTTTTTGTTGGTGTTTTCGTTTTCTTGTTGTTGCTGTTGTTGTTTTATTTCTTAGGGCTGTAAGGGAGATTGCAATCACTGAGAGAATTTATAATAAAGTTCGGAAAAAACGAACATAGAGCAAGAGAGCTAAAGCTGTCACGCCAACTGCCAAATTGTACCTTGTCCGACCGGACTTCTCTCTGGCTTTTTTTCTTATATTGAAAGGGAAATTTCGGAATAAGCGGGTCGGCCAAGAGCAACAGAAAAACCAAACAAAGTTTTTTAAACATTTCAAGCGCCGTAATTGGCGTTAGCAACGTAAGCAGAGACGAAAATCCTCAAACAGAAAACGAAATGGACAGTCCGAGTTTTGAAGTTTTTTACAATTAGCTGGATTGCAAGCTTACCTGCAGTAATAAAAATCAAACATAGCTAACACTCGTGTGATATATATAGTTTGTGTTCAAGAACAAAACAGAAAAAAACAAGAATGATGAAAAGTATAGCCAAACTGGCATAACTGTTGAAAATTCATACTAATCATAGCGGTGTCAGAGTGAATGCGATCATGCTGAAGTCCATCGCGGCCAGCGCACCATGACATATCCGGTCATCACAGTGAAGCAAGCATCAGAATTTTTAATCGGCCGCCCTTCGAGTGAACAACTACGACAACTAAGAGCTCTGATATCCTTTCCGATGCTTTGAGTGGAAGACCACATCAGGCACAGCAGCCGAGTGAATTGGGTTGTCGTTCATTCATGAAACATACGCCTTGAGCAGTTTGTTTTCTAATTATCATGTGATAAAACTCGCGTTTTTTCATGAGCTTCAATGCGGCCGGATTATTCTGAACATTTCAATTTTAAATTCTGTATAAGAGGCTAAACAACTTCAAGCAAGTGTTTAATTCGACCTGTCTGTCTGTCGATTTTACAAGGATTGTGACTGGCTTATTGTAACGTGCCCTATGAGAGTGTAGAACACGCTGACGACACTGCTGTTCGCTTTAAAAATAAAGTTTGTCTCTAGGAATTTAACGGATTTTTGATATAAAACAAATTAATTCTTAAAAAAACGTCTTGTTTTCTTTTTCTTTGTTTCTAGTCGCCTCCTGCGTGCTTTACAACAGAACAGAGCACATTAAAGGCTTCTCTATTTTTGAATTATTAATTCTTGTAAAAAACTGCTTTTCTTTTATTGTTTGGCGCTCTCTCAAAACTAAATTAGAGGCGAGAAAAAATTGTACAACTTCTCTGGAATCTAATCGTCAGAGGTTACGTAATTTTCAAACTTCTTCGCGATATTAGGAACACTTTCTCAAGGAAAGCTCACTGTACATGAAACTTTGCAGGCGTAAAGAAAATGCGACTAGCAGGTGGCATTTAAGTCATATTTTAAAGCGTGGACTAGAACTAAAATTCGGAACTTCTGTTTCGTAAGTCGAGTATCTAACCTCCTGGCCTCATTGGTTATTGCTATTTCTTCAAAACAAATGCAAGCAAATACCTTCCCATCACTGACTTTCATTACCAGTTCCCATACTCCATCCCCACATTTAGGAAAGCCTCTACATCTTGTTTTCCACGTGTTGTTACCGAAATTGATCTTGTAGATGCCATTCCGGCTTGAGCTGTGATTACAGAAAATGACTTTAAGATGTGACCCGTTTTTCCAATGTAAATTTTAGTGAGTTAAGTGGAAAGTTGAGCAGTAGTAGTATTAGTAATTATTTACCCAGTGAGTATGTTCGATGATCCTTGTATTAAAAAAAAACTCGATGAAGTGGATTTGATGTGCCGAGGGTTGATTATCGCGGGAAACCGAAGTGATAAAATAGTTCCTAACTTTGTGTTTGTTCACTTTAATACCTCTACTCTGTACTTTCAGTGGAAACTTCATATCCTTAAACTGCGTACCTATGTCTCTTAAATATGTCGCGACAAGACTTCCCTGCGGTGTAGTTTCGACCTTTCAAGAAAACAGAGAAAATGAAAGGTTAGTGATAATTTTTTTCCTTAGTATAACTCATCTACATATTACGTTGTATTACACAACAGATTTTAGGAAGGATTTCAGTAGAGAAGGAGATGAATACGAGAGAGTTCACTTCAATTTTAAGTACAAGGAAGTGTAGACGAAATTCTTTTATAATTTGTCTTTTTCAATATTTCTGAACCTCGGTTGTGCAGAGACGAATAATCATTTGAGAACTTTTTTCGTTCGCTCTAAGCCATGACGCTTGATTTCAACGCACTTGATTGTGTTCGTCCCGCAAATATCTCCATAGTATTTTCCTTTGAGAGAGAAGGGGATAAGGTAACAGGACAGGGTTTGCTGATAAGGATAGCAGACTAACATGCCTAATTCTGCCTTAGTATTTTAAAAAATTATTTTATTCGTCTTGGTACATTGTGTATTATTACCCTACATACCTTCCACGCTACTATTGTTAGTAAAGGAGGTACTGGATGACCCTTGGCCTTTGTTCGTCAATATTGCGATCTGCAAGTACGTAAGGAGTGGTTATTAGTTATTGCCTGTAGACGGCGATGTCATGATAATTCCTGCCCTCCCCCCTGGTTCGTAGTTCCCCCCTAATACCGTTGCTTGTCGTCGTTTGATATTCATCGCAGTTTAGTCAATACTGCCTCCTGTAGTCTGAACAATGACTTATTTTAGAAGCACTTGAAAGTTTCGTTTTTTCAATGTGTTTTCAACTGGAAAACTTCATTTTACAGAAGGAACCTGTTATCTTGTCATACGAGCCTCTATTTTCGTTTTTTTTTTTTTTACGACTTATCTCAAAGTTTACTTTCGAAATTAAATTACTTTTTTTTGTGGCAAAAGTCATCGATGTGTTTGTATAAGTTTGTGCACAAGTTGTTAATGAAATACACATTATTTTATTCTTTTGTCATAGGAAGTTGTCTAAACAAAGTGAAAGTTTCTCCTCATTTGCTGCCGTCTATAATTCAACAGACGAAGTAATTAGCATCAATTGTTTTCCACTACTGTTTAATGTGCCTGAAACTCATTGCTATTTCCCACAGAATCAAAACTCAGCACCATTCAAGTTCGAGAGAGATATGTAGGTTAAATTTCTCAGAGAAACGAAAGACTTTTCTCACGAAAATACATCATTTTAAGTGAGGAAAGTTCTAGATTTTGAAAATAGAAAAATTTATGTTAAAAAAATTTCTTACTTTTCTCATCGTCCAAATTCTTGACTTTTCCTCCTTTCCGTCCATGTTAGAATCTCTGGAACATTTTCCCTTCTTTTGATACAAGGCGCATTTCTTCAAGGCGTTGTGAAATATGGCTCCTTCACAGGTGTCATCTCTGCTACAACGCAAGGCGCAAGCCAGCTCTGTACTGGCGTGGAACTCTCCAATGCTATGAAATCCTTCCCGAGGATGTTTTTGGAACGAAAATATGAAATAAGAACTGAAAAGCTCCTGAAGATGGGAACAGTAGGCACAACTCAGCAGAATAATGGAAATGCTGATTTTCTTGGACATGCTTTTACCGTCTTATGGATATCTTTTCTGCCTTACACACACTCTGGTTTGCTATGTAATTGTTAGCCGTGGTAAGAAGGTATTATGCCTTGGACTGTTTGTCTTGATGTCACAAAGGGCGCCTTGTGTTGCGGTACCATGATTGACATATATGGTAACACCTGACATGTTGTTTTGATGTCATTTTCTATCATTGATATCTTTTCTCCCTCCATCGGATGTTAACACCACAAATTTTTATTTTTCATGACCCTCAAGCGCACTTATTGTTTTCGTTTTAATCTTAAATATAGTTTCATTAATAGGCCAGTTAATCTTAAGCGAGAACACTTCATTTAAGGACCACGGTATAGTCATTTGAGATTTTGTAACTCTTGACAATACATCTGTAAAGACAAATTGGGACGGTGAAATTTAATGAAAATTAATTATTTTTTTTCAAGAAGTCGAAGTAGATTCTTGAATGAAAACGAAGGAAATTTATAGTGAGTGAATTGTTTAGGCGTATACACATCGATTTCTAATGTACCACTCGATCAGCTGGATTTTCGGTGGAAGAGGAAATTCCTCCCCAAATCCCAGCAATGTATCTTTTTCCTTGAATTATGGGGTTTTTAAACGGATGGTCAATTTGTTCTTAAGATAACTAGGGAACATTTTGGGCAAAATATTCTCCCAACGAATTCCTGGCGATGAAAAATACTACAGTTGCTAAAAGTGAGCTTCAAAAACCAAGGCCCCAGTTGAGCTTTTGTCATTTTATACTTTTATTCTTCCTATAAATGCCTTCTTACTTTCTAAAAATTTCCTGCTTCCGTCGCTTTTCCGGCAGTAGAGATACGAGATTCTTCCTCATTGTTCGTCAATTTTTCCTTTACATATATGGGAACAGGTTACTATACAGTGCTTTTAGACAGTAACGTTATGATAACTGTCCCCTCCCCCTTTCTTAGTTTTGCACCACTACCAATACTGAAATAAGTTCGGTATTCATCACATGATAGTCAGTTCTGTCTCGTCAGTGAACCCTGATTAACACTTCCTGTTAGTATCAATCGAAATTTTCATTTTCCAATATGTGTCGTGATCTGTCATTTTTTACTTGACAAGAAGCCTGTTATCTTGAAATCAATAGGCTTTTAATTTCCGGTTTTTTTTTTCAATTACTGTCTGAAGTTTGACCGATGAAATTGATCTAAAATTTGTTTTTTATAGCAAGAGCCATCCCTGTGTTTGTTTAAGTTTATGCCTCCGTTCGTTAATGAAATACACGTCGTTTTATCTTTTTGTCATCAGTATTCGTCTCGACAAATTAAAGTGTTTTCCTTAATGTCTGTCGTATGTAATTCATCAGACTTGGCAAATGACAGAAGCTGTTTTCACGTAATATTATGATTCTGATGCTTATTGCTTTATTTTGCAAGAGAATGATTGAGTAATATTTTATTTGAGGCGAAATGTTGAAAATGAAATTCGCAAGGAAACAAATGACTTATATATGGTCTGAAATCGCATATTAGAGGAAAAATACTAGATCGTGTAATAGGAAACTAGCATTTTAACGACATTTCTTACTTTTATCATCGCCCAAATTCTTGTTTTTCGTCTTTTTCGTTTCCTCAATTTCACTGAAAAGTATTTCTTTCTTTTGATACGTAGAGCACCCATTTAAGGCCTGGTAAAATAGCGCTTTGTAACAGCTGTTATCTCTGTCACACTGTTGGGTGCAAGCTAGCTCAGATTCAGCGTGGAACTTTCCAATGCCGCGTGAGCCTTCATTCGGATCTTTCAGGAATGGAAATGTGAAATAAGAAGATAACGCTCCTGTAGATTGCAACGCCAGGCATAACTGAGCAGAATAATGGTAATACGGATTGTCTTGGACATGCTTTACGACCTTTTTCGCTTTGCAGACATTTTTCCCGATTCACAGACGCTCTAGTTTACGCGGTAATGGGTGGATATAAGCGATATTGTATTAAAGTTGTAGACGGTCTCAATTTCAAGCCTTTGATGTGATTGGCTCAAAGACAAAAAAGGTGCCTTGGATCCCATTTTGTTCATTACTCAATGAGAGCGACTTTTCCTGTCAGTAAAGAGCCATTGTGTTTACATAATATACAAAATAATACGTGATCGCTTGTAGAAATGGAATATCTCTTCTCGAGTTGAGCACTCGAAGAAAACTGACTTCATATCTACGCGTGCCCGTGTATTCTCTATATATTGCTTGATGTGCCTGTCTGGTTTGTTTTTATTTATGATAATGAAGGAGATGCTAGATGCTAGGGAAAATTTGCACAAAATTACCGATGATATTGTGGACAACCTTGTGTTAAGATCAACTTTAATTGTGATTAGCTTTCGGCTGTAAATATTAGCTCTCCTAGATGCAGCTCGCCGCTTCTATGGTTTGGGTGTTTGATATCTAACATTCGCGGATGACATTAACATCAACGCTTTTTTTTTTTAAATTTTTTACCTTGACTTGTCATTGTTACTGAATATAGATTCTGCAGAGAGCTGGAAATGATTGTAACAAATACTTTGGTGGTGATTTGTTATTGTTACTGAATATAGATTCTGCAGAGAGCTGGAAATGATTGTAACATATACTTTGGTGGTGACTTGGTACTGTTACTTATGATGAATTCACCACAACTCATTTCAGGTTCTTGCTGAGAGCCAATACCAACACCGCGCACCAAATACGGCATGGAGCACGATGGGGACTCCTTGGACCTTACTCCAACGCGTGATTTGATCGGCCATGAAGCTGGCCCGTGCATGTTTAGGCCTTTTACCAAACAACCACTGTCGATACCGAATGGAATCGTGATCTTGGACCCCTCGTGCAAAGCGGAGTGAAGTGATTGAGCAGGATAGTTTAGCAGAATACTTGTGTAGTTCGTGGAGGAGTTTGCTTCAAAATACATGGTGACACATATTTTGGTGAAATTTCTGAGCCAATATCCGGGAAGTTTGAATTCACCTCCCTTCTTTACTGATCGATATGAAGCTTGGCTGGTCCAGTAGTGAGAATCATAGCGCAAGATGCTCTAAAAGGTAAGACAGATCCTGTTAGTTACCAGTTCAGCAGAAATCTTAACTCTTTTTGCCGTAATAGTTATTTCCAATTTTAATCCTCACAATGAAAAACAAAATTGAATCACTGCCGTGGGGTCTCATCTAAAAATAGGGATATCTCAATTTTCCTGTTATTTGTTCGCTAAGACAACGTTTATGTGGGGTGGACTTCGTTATTTTATCATACATAGTCCATATTGTTGTTTACACGTAGATATCATACTGCAAAAAATCATCTTAATATGAGCCACCCTTCGATAATACGCCGGTCTCGAATAAGTGCTTCCTTTCTAAACCTTATAGATCGATAGAGGCACTTTAGGCGCCTATTCGATGATCTACGGTAATATTCATATGTAATAAGCTAACCAGGATTTCTTATAGCTTTTGGGGGGAAAATTTCTACTTCATAAAGGTTCATTGTGCCGAAACATATTCTCAACCTAAGCCATGAAAGAAACAATTCAAATGAAAGATACCAAGAGAAAATTCCAATCTGCAGAGTCAAGCCAGTTGACTATTTAAACGGTGACTGAGGGTTGGAATGTTAGACAACGGGTGTTGGGTCCAGTATGACTCCCTCTTCTGTCATGCTGATCGCTCTTTCCTTAATAATAATAGAAGTAAATACCTTTGAACTTTTGACTTTCATTATCAGTTCCCATACTCCAGGCCCGCATCCACGAATTCCTTTCATCCTGCACTTTGTCCTCCACGTTAAATTACCAATGCTTACGTTGTAGGGGCCACTTGGGCTTGAACTGTAAAGACAGGTAATGAAAGAAATCTTTCATTCTAATGTACATGTTTAATTCTAAGGACTTTAGTAGCAATCTCACAGATATCTTTGTGTTACATTTTAAATTGTTAAGATGTCAGATCTTTTTATTTAAAGAGAACTGTGAAAGAGGACTTAAATTGATGAGGTTGATCCAAGAACATGTGAAACTAGATATCCCTGCAGAATGTGGGCATATTTCTATTCAGTAAGCTTTTTTTTAACGCGATTTGGGAAGGATTTTTATAATGATTCAGAGTGCAGCCAACAGGAGGAAGTGGTAGCACTGCCAGGGGCACCATAGAATATGTAGCCATATCTTTTTTTATTTTAGCAAATACCCATTACATAAATTATTTTTCCATTTTTATTTTACTTGCCTATTTCTTTGCAGAATGTCATAACAAGACGTGCCTTTGGTGTAGTTTTGAGCTTTAATACAACAAAGGAAAGAGTATTTTGATAAAATATTTTAACAGAAAAGTAACCAATTATTGATTATAAAATGATGATGATGCCATAAATGTCGTAAATAAATGTCGTAAAGACTGTTACATGTATTGAAAGACTTGCATTGCGATATTTCGACTCACCAATATCGATGTTCTCCTGATTTGGAGGACGATAATCGTCAGTCAAAATATCGTAATCAAAGTCTTTGTACGTTGTTCATCATTCCTTGCAGGAGTGTTCTGGACATGATTGAAATATTTTGTATCTCCCATACAGCCCCCTTACCTTCATCAGAATTTGTGTTACCATTACCTCCATTAACGGCTGAACTACAAGACGAGATCAGCTTCTTATTCGTCAGATTGATCACCTGTATGTACACAGAAACCAGTGATTATTGTTTTTCTTTTGGTAGAGGCGTCAAAATTCTTCATTTCCCCTTCCCCATTCTCAGCGAACTTTATTACCACTACGTATGGCGATAACTAAATGATAGTTGTATGCATCCTGACGCCTGATAGTAGCATTGAAATTTCTTTTTTACCCAATCAGCCTGTGCTTACACCATTTTGCATAATAAAACTCGTTATCTTTAAAACAGTCAACTTGTAATTTCCGTTTCTGTAATGGCTTATCTCTCCAAAGGTTTCTTAATTGAATTTTATTTTTTTTTAATTACAAAGTTAGTGATGAGTTTGTTTCAATTTGTGCACTATTGGGCATTATACACGCCATCTCGTCGTTTTGATATCAACAGTCGTCTGAAAAAATTATCGTTTTCCTGAACTAAACTTCATGAAACTCACCTCAACATACGTGACAAATACAATTTTTTTTTAGGTAATGTAACTGTCTGATGGTTGTTGCTGTATCAACTTGAGTCAAAATTTAACAAGATTTCATTTTAGGAGAAATGGAGAAAAATGGCGAAGTTGTATTTTTATTAAATTTCTTACTTTTGTCATCTTCCAAAATCTTGACTTCTCGTTTTCTTCGTCCACGTCAGGATCTCTGGAACATTTGTCCCTCTTGTGATGCAAAGAGCATTTCTTTGAGGCCATGTCAAATATCGCTTCATTACAACGGTTATCTCTGTCACATCGTAATGCACACGCCAGTTCAGAACCAGCGCGGAACCCTTGAACGCCGAGAGAACCTCCAAGCGGATCTTTCAGGAACGAAAATTTAAAGTAAGAAGATGAATGCTGCTTTGGATAGGAACAGCAGGCAAAAAAGAGTAAGATAATGGAAATACAAATTGTAATGCACATGCTTTCACCGCCCTAACAACACTTAACCGCTTTACAGACGCTGAGGTTTGTGTGGTAATGGTGAAATGTGAGCGATAGCGGGAGGAAATTAAATTTGTAGGTTGACTTAATTGGGCGCCTAAATTTTATTGGCTGTATGACTCAAAGGTGGTTTATTATTCCGTTACTACGATTGATAATCATCAAACACCTGGAAAATTGCTATAGTGGGAATTTTTATCGTGTATTTGTTCTCGCCTTCTTTCAGTGAAAGTATTATTTTAAGCGACCATTATTCAAATTTTGTTTTCGGAAACTGCAATGAAATTTTTTTGCTATATGCACGTGTTCATCGTCAACAGCTTTGATAATAGGCCAGGTGAGCTAAGATAAAATAGCATAAAGGTACACGGTAATATAAAGTCATCTGAGCTCTCTACTCGGAGCAACATCTGTGAAGAGATTCTTCATGAACGCACTGACTGTGATTTAACCCCTTGATTGTTAATTCTCCCCTTTAGCTGTTACACATTTCCTTGTAAATTAGTTAGGAGAATTTGGTCTTAGATCAAGATAACAACTTCTGATACATCTGAGTATTCTCATTACCTGTTTGCTGGATAGTGCATGGATAAAGGGTTAATTGTAAGATTTTTGGAACTAAAGTTTAAATTTATATTATGGTTGGCAGAATTCAAGAAATTCAACAATCAGAATTGCTAGGTTTTCTGATTTCAACTTTTCATTCATAGCCATAGTTTTGAAATGTCAGACAACGGAACTAAAGTTTAAATTTATATTACGGTTGGCAGACTTCAAGAAATTCAACAATTAGAATGGCTGGGTTCACTGATTTCAACTTTTCATTCGGTATGGTTTTTTTTCTATTTTATTTTTAATGAATCACCTTTTGCGCGACATTTTTTTAGGGCCTGTTTCACGGCAGCTTGTTTCAACAGTGAGTGTCTCCATCATAAAATGTAGTAGACCTTCCAGATTCCCTCTCATTCGCTACTGAATGTATATTCTACAAAAAGCTGGATGAGTTTCTTTAAAATGGCCTCTTATAATGACATCACCACAACTTATTTGTGATTTACCCCTGAAACTGTAACCAATACCAACTCCTCGCACTAAATACGGTAAATTGCACCAATGCACAGGCTGAGACTCTACTCCAACACGTGACTTTATGTTCCATGGGTGTGGCCCGAGCATGTTGAAGCCTTGGATGAGACAGCTTTTATCGATACTAAGTGGGGTGTTTGAGGTAGCGTCATGTCCTACGTGCCATGACATCTTCATTCCCTTCTCAAGGGCGGTGTAAAGCGACTGTTCAGTGTAGTTTACCAGTATAGCTGTGTTCTGGGAATAAAGTGGTGTAAACTCCATGGTGATACATATCTTTGTAAAATTGCTGAGCCAGTATCCAGGAGTCTTGATCTCTGTTCCTTTTTCAGCCGAGGCTTGGCTGGTCCAGTAATGCGAGTCATAAAGGAACGTGTTCTGAGAAGTAAAACAGTTGCTATTAGGAAGATTGAATTTCTGCATGTAAGAGTTCGCCGTGCAAGTCAAGCGCCGTGCTGCCGATAGTCGGCATTGACGCAATAGTACAAAGGAATGTGATCTCATTTAAGATCGACGTTTTTGCAAAGATTGGTAACAACATACCCTGGAGCCGTTAAGTCTCATTACTAATGCCCAGGCTCCCTTTCCACATCCGGGAATGCCCTTCATTCTACAGTGAGTCCTCCACGTGACGTTTCCGATTCTTATATAGTAATGGCCACTTTCACTTGAGCTGTGGTGACAAGAAATAAAGCCATCTTCGTCGTTAATCAACATGTTCATCCATTATTTTTAAGTGTACCATTTTCACACGCTTTGATTTTGTTTGCTTGTTTGTTGGTTTTTTTTTTCCCAGAAAGTTTACGATTTGAACTCGCTAGAATCTTGTAAAACGGTAATACGCTAGGGAGTAGGTTTCTAATTAGATGTACAGATTAACAAAAGCCCCTAACTTTTCTTTACTCAGGTGTGCGTTTTAGAGTTGTTGTTTTTGGTTGTTTTTTTTTAATAACAAACACATACCTGTTTCTTTGCAGAATGTCATGGCATGACGTCCAAGTGGTTCTGTGTCGACCTTTGGAACAAATCACAGTGAGTAATATACTGCTAATGTCAGAAAACTTTAAACTCTTGAAATATATTGGGGCTTGTTTTTTGTAATAAAATCATCAGTCACATTGGAATTCAAGAGACTATATTGAACCAAAAATTCATAAAACTTATTACTGATTACAAGCATTCTTCCTTTCCTTTTTTTTTCTTTTCGATTCCAATCAACTTCATGTCCTTGTGGTGGTCATCTATGTGCCCTTCTGTTTTCGGATCAATATCAGTATCTGGGCAACTGCCCACCTACCCCTCCCCTAACCCAACATTAACCTAAACTTGTTGTCAATTGACTGTTGTTGAATTAGGGGAGGGGTAAGTGGGCAGTTGCCCAGATACTGATATTGATCCCTGTTTTTCTTCTTACCTGTATTCTTGCTGCCTTTGTTATAACAGTCTGACTTCCGCTTGTTTTTGGCTGGATTGAACAACTTTATGCGCAAAAAATATAACAGACATTATTACTCAACTTACTATTTTTTTAAACAGAATTTCGTAAAAATTCTCACGTAACGTATCTTACTGAAATTTGCAAAAGCATCGAAGAAAATATATTGGGGATGATCAAGGGAGGCAGTTTGGAAAAACAACGAAATCTGCTAAATTTTCAAAACTTCGCTTGGTTACGAGTCAACCGCGAATTTCCAAAAATTCGTTAGTGCTTTTATGAAAATTGCGAAATTTGTTCATTTAATATTTACTTTATTCCAAAAGTTATTTAACATTTGGAATAAAGCGCCTGATTTTAACGAAATAATTGTTCTTGCCTACGACAATTTTGCGACAGTCTTAAACGACAGAACCCTGCATATATCTCTTAAAATGTGGAAGTTATATAACATGCTTTAAAACCCTGTGAAAAGAAGAGTTTAAAAACTTTCAAAAGGAAGCATGCTGTGAAGTAGAAATGTAGTATGTGCAGCTTTGAAAGAAACTTTCTGTTGAGAAAGAAAGCTGCCCAAAAAGCCTCGTAAAAGTCGGGAGATCAATCTGATGTTCTTTTTTACCGTTAACAAAGTTTGATATAGGATAAACTTTTAACCTCATTTTGATCGCACATGATATAAAGATAGCACTTGAACAGTGTCCAAGTTACTTTTACAGCAATAGAGATGGGTTGTGAAAAATGAAAAAGGTCTTTCTTACTAAAGTGTCGATAACAATCAACAGCTCTTCGTTTTCGTTTTGCTTTGTGTGAAGTCAAGGTGTTCTGTCCCGTTGTTTTAATACCTTTTTGACACTTAGATATAAATTAAAGTTTATTTTGAAATAATAGAGGTACTGTTTACTTTAATTTGAGGAGACAGTTCCCTTTAAACTGATTTACTTTATTTTGTTATCGCTGTAGTTATCGCTTAAACCAAATGTAATCGTCAAAGACAACTACACCTCAACAAATTAGTATTGAGTACTGTCAATATGAATTGACAGAGATCCATCTTAAGTACTAATGTGTTTTTTGATATTCGTTTTTATTCACTGCTATGATTGATTTGTCCTCTTATTGCTAACATGATTGAACATTTTCGGCTTTGAATCCAGTTTGTTGCAAAAATATATTTGTTCTTTGTCAGTGTCCTCTCTTCCGTCTTTTTCATAAAAGTGGTTCATAAGTGTTCTCACACCTCCGTTGTTCTCAGGAGGCATTGAGGTGAAACAAAATACTTTTTATTTAACATATTTGCCGTGAGAAATTTGAATTGTTTGTAGTATCTGTGACATAATCTTAAATCAATTGAGGCTTTGGACAACGAATTGATATCATTTCGGGTCATTTTGTTTCATTCCATGCCATAAAAAAATATTTTACTGGCGCCAGTGTCATTCATTACCTTTGTGGGATATTTAGGTTCGGTTAGAAGAGTTTCGTAGCGTGGAATTCTTGACTATAATTGCTAAAAATAAAGATTTTTCAGTTGTTAAATTTACGGTGAAGGTCATTTCTTACCTTTGTTATAGTTAGAGCTCTTGCTTTCTTCATTTTCATGTTTTCACCTAAGTTGGGATCTTTGGAGCACTGATCGTTTTGATACCAAAAACATTTTTTAGAGGCTTTTTGAAATATCGCTTTGTCGCAGTGTTCCACGCGGCTGCATCGTAAGGCACATGCTAGCTCACTATCCGCGTAGAACTCTACAATGTTATGAAAATTTACACGTAGTTTTTCTCCATACGAAAAGGTAAAATATGAAGATAACCGCTCTTGAAGATGGCAACTGGAGACGAAACTGAACAGAATGATAACAAAAAGAAAGATCCTGACCATTTCTCTTTATATCTCTAATACTTACAAATACTTAGTTTCCGCTTACGTTGGGTGCGCACATCGAATGCGTAGCTTGCTTCATTATCACTTTTACATCTGATTGGCCACGGGAACGTTCTGGCTTATCCCAATACTTATCGTATGACATGCAGGTGTCGAAAATTGCTCGTGCGTCTTTTTTTTTTTTTTTTAATTTATGCAATGAAATTGAAATAAGAAAGTTTGGTATTACAGATTGGGATGTTAACTTGATTGAGTTGTAAAAATTTTTCCCCATTTCTCTGATTTAATAGCACTGAGAACCAACTCGAACTATTAATGGGATTTCTATAGGGGTAGACTAACTCTCCTTTACATCAAACTAGTATTCGTTAACGAAAGATTCTATTTTCCTCACCTAAAAGAAATGTTTTACATCATTTGATCTCAAGACGAGTATTCCTGTGTTGTGCTGCAAGCTTTTTTAATAACTTGCGTCTACAGAAAAATTTTAGTCCAATCATTCCTCTAGGTCGCATTGGCTTACACTACTATCCTGTACATCATGCACTGATCAGTTCGAAGTTTCAACTTCACCACCCGGGCAACCCACGGTCATTTGACCGTCGTGTGTGCCCGAGGGAGTGAGGATTTTGAACCTTGCCTGGGTGGAGTGGGGCATTTGAACCAGAAGTGTCAAGTCTTTGCAGCATAACACACGTATTTTAATGGATGAGTTTAACGGTAAAAAGTTTGCTGTCGTGAGCGATTGGCTTCGAGAGACAATTATCGCATCTTAGAACGATGAAAACAAGAAAAAACCTATTAGCAGTACCAAAAACTAATACGTGACTTTGCTAAATTCTACAACATTCGTTGATCACACAAAGATTCTGAACCCAACTTTGGCCTGGGGTTGGGGGTGAAAGTGCGGGAATTTGAACAAGCCAATTTGCCAGGTGGGGGATGGCGAACTTTCGAATTGATCGACGCACAGCGCTTTGCTAAAAAGGTTAATCTATTCTTTCCCTATGATCTAGTTATCAATTTCCCGTATTGTGTTCAATACATTTCTTATACATTTATCGCTGAGAATTTGATGTTGAGTAAAGTGACATCCCAAGTTGATTACTTCTTTCTTCTCATCATCATGTCGCTTCACAATGTGTTGATAGAGTATAGTAAGGTTAAGTTCCTTTTTGGTCACAACAGGGAATGAAAGAGTTAATGGGATACTTCACGGGTTCACTTTGGTTTCGTTTTCCTTCGCTTTTGAATCGATCTCTTGAAACTCGCACCATCATCTCAATCAATCAGATTGCAAAACTAAAACCTGTCATGAGTTGGTCACTCACGTTTTTCAACACTGAACACCTGCAGCACTCCTTTACCTTAAGTTCTGATCAACTCCCTGAAATATTTACATTTGTTCCGAATCGTAGTTGGGAATCTACACTGATTTTGGTTTTACAATACTCAATCGAAAAACGCTTTACTTTACATCACTACTGAACGTAGATTCTACAGAAAGCTGCATATGTCTGTAGAGTTGGTGGAGGGCTAATAATATCTCCGCAACTAATCTCAGAATTTATCGGATTGGGGTGCTGATATCCAAAACCAAAACCTCGTACCAAATATGGAAAGGAACAGATTTGTGTCTGGGTCTGTATTCCAACTTGTGTTTTGACTTTCGTTAATGGTAGCTGAGAAGACAGGTTGAAGCCCTGCTCCAAACAGCTGGTATTTATACTGGGTGAGATCCAGGGAGGTTGTGTCATGTTGGACAGTTCTCCTCTCCAGTTCTTGGTCGTTCCCCCGTTTAAAGCTGCGTGAAGTGAGCTGTCGGTATGGTTTAACAACAGGCTGACCTTTTTATCCTGGGATGAAAATTTCATGGTGACACATATTCTGCTGAAAGAGCTAAGCCAGTAACCAGGGAGTTTGGCTTCTACCAATTTGTCGACAGTTTGATATGGAGATCTTGTGGCCCACTGAGGGGAATCATAAGCAAAGGTCTTCTATAAGGTAAGAAGTTCTCTGTTAGACGTTTTATTCAAATTGACACGCTGTGTTTCCCAAATAGAGAGGTCAGGGTATAAGCCTGAACGGAGTTCGTCGAGTTGAATTCTTGGCCAAAAATTCTACATTCATAATAAAATGGGTCTAAAATGGCTCCAAGGGGCTTTTTTTTATATGAATCCTACTGATCACCTTTGTGAGTGAGTCAGGCAGTAAGTTGGTTGCTATTTGAGAGTCGATAGGAAACCTTTTTTAACTTCGCTCAGTGATTGTTTCAGAAAACTTGCGCCTGTATCTCAACCAATAACATTCAAAACTTAGGCCAAAATGGTTTGGTCACGTGCGTTTTCTCGCGTTTCAAGCAATTTATTGGTTTTTACTTTGAATTCTCATTGGCTAATGATGTTGCAACCTTCGCTCCGATTGGCTGTTGTGATTACTTTGGTTTTGGTTTTGTTAACCTCAACTTAAAACTACTTCAATCAGTTATTCTGTCAAACAGCCTGACAGGCAGATAGAACATCTAGGCGACCATTAAATTTATAACAAACCTTTAACCCATTGATTCGCATTACTAGTGTCCAGCCTCCTTCTCCACATCCAGGAATTCTCCCCATACTGCAATATGTTTTCCACGTATCTCCACCAGTTGTTATGTTGTAAAAACCACTTGGGCTTGAGCTTTGGTGTAAGATTTGAATTTTAAAGAAGGCTCTCAGCAGTTGATGTTTATGAAATAAATGAGGTATTACCAGCGCCCTGATTTGTTAAAAACTTACCGTTTGTTGCACCGATAAAACATAAGAAGTGTGGTCTATCGCTGAAATTAGCTATGAATTTTGCCACCGAAGACAGTGTAATTTCAATTTTAAAGTGACTTTTACATAGTTTTTTTGCACATGATTTCTTCCCTTTTAATTCTCAAAGTCAGAAGCAACGATCAAATTTTACAGTGATGTCTACAACAGATGGTGATGCTTTTTGTTATTTGACAATTGTGACATTTCTTTTGGCAATATTTTCTAAAAATTAATTTTTGACAAATAAGTCAACTTTCGTGTCATGCAGAGCCATTCAAACGGTCAATACATGCAGATGATTTTAATCGGATTCGTGTAATATTCTTTACAAAACTATTTTATTTCATGAACAGGTGTTTTTTTGGCTCCAACCCCGCACCTTCGATTGAGAAACAAAACGCGTATAATTTCTGTTCTGGTAAGATCTGTCTTCAAAATGAAGAGCGACAATGAACACTCGTCATTACGAAAATAGTCCTCAAAGCTGAAAGGGGCACAGTTTGATAATAAGTTCAGAAAATTTCAAGAGGGTGCAACTTAGATGGCTGTAAAAATGAAAAAATTATTTTTTGTTCTATTCAGAGACGATTTGAAAACATTTTATAGCTAGTATCGTTTATGAAAGAGAGGCATGAACGCTAACTTTGCAATCAGATAATGCAAAAGTAATTATGAAATAGGCTGACTTGACTTTTCATATTCCTTAAAACTGGAATGCACCCACCTATTTTGTTGTAAGATATCGCTACACGAAGCCCTCATCGTTGTTTGATCGTCTTTTATCGTTGAAGAGACGGAACCACGGTTATCATCATTGTTGTCAATACCATAAGGACAGCTTCCTTCCAGATCTTCGCTCACTGGAAGAATCGGAACCTTTTGAGGAAACGAAAAATAAGTTTTTATTTCATATTTTTCGAGTAGTTTGGCACTCATAGCGTGTTTTGTTTGTCATTTTTTGTACTTACTAATGTTCAAAAAGTTAGCAGAATTTTTCTTGTAAAGTGTCTTTGTGTGAAAACTGACAGGCTATAGCTTTTAAAGAAGGAAGGACGCGTAACATGGAAGGCTTTTAAGATGGAAAGCTTGTAACATTGAATGCTTGTAGCAAGGAAAGCTTGTAACCTGGAACCTTTACAGGAATCAAAAGATAAAGTACAGGAAAAATCATGGTCCAACAGCAGCGGTTGACGAGCTGAGTCCATTTTAAAAAAAAGATCGAAAGAAGTACCCTTGTAATATCCACTCAGGCACATATGTCTTTTGAAAAAAAGAGAGGCGTCACGCGTAAAATTGAACCTCTTGATTGGTGTTAAAATAGAAATCTTGCAATTAACTATTGATAGCTTTACGAAAGCCACCATCTCGAAGCCAATGGAAGATCGATTTCAAAATTGACTGATACATCCTCGTAGTAAGTTATAACATATCGTATGCTGAATGAATGAAATGTTTATATTATTTGGACGCAATCAATTGGCAACTTCGAAAAACGTGTTTTGTTGCCACAAAAATCTGACGGATACATCAAAGATTTCAATTTTCAGTTTTTTTTGTGTATGTTTTGGCTGCTTGAGTAGTTTCTGTCATGCGATGGGAAGTCTGATAGCGGGTCTGAGTGTATTGAAGTGACAGCTTCGTTGGGCTGTACAAACACAAGAAGTCAAATGATTCTTTATTTAAACATCTTCATGGTCATTTCAACGACATGGTTGATTAAAGAAAATTACCATGAATTTTCTTTGTTTTTTTTATAAACTACTTACACAATGCGGCAGAAAAAGGAGCAAAAGAGAGTATATTATTTAAAGCGAACGTGCAAAACCTTAACTGCGAAATTATCTTCTTCTCTTAGACGTTTCTCAAACTAAGCTGATTTGGTACGAATTTTAATGCTAAAAATGTGGTTTTAAATATGCTTAGAAATGATGGACTGTAAATTATTGCGAGTAAAAGTGCATTTGTCTGATAGAAGCCATTTCCGAGAGAAAGAAACAAAGAAGCAAAGAAACAAACACAGGAAGGAAGAAAGAAAGAAAGAAAGAAAGAAAGAAAGAAAGGGAAAAAAAGTAAGCTTTCGTTCTTTCTCGAGCGTGTCCTCTACAAGGAAATGAACCCCAGACCGTGGAATTTCGTGCTTCGATGCCCTACTACTAAGTTTACTGTGCTATTATGGATCTTTCTTCATTTGTGAAAACCCTCTTTAACATAGCTTGGTTCAGTAATATCGAAAGATTCGTGCGAGTAAACGGAATGGCAAAAAATGAACTCGGCCATAAAATGAAGACAGATGTGACTCGTTTTGTTATGGATGTAAGGTAAAGAAGAAATCTGGATCTCTCACGAGGAAACATTTCTTCTTTTAGATTGATTTACAGAGCATTTCAAGATTGAAAACGTTGAAACTTAATGTTAGACTTGTCAGTGTAAGATATATTTTTCAAAGAGACCTTCGCCTGCACTCAACATTGATAAGAACTGAATGAGCATTTCAAGCATTTTCCAAACTTGAAAAGCTTATAGCCGCACAGAAAAGGTATCTATTTACTAGATGTCTTACCTTTCTCAGGGTCACAATTCTTAACTTTGGATCTACGTCGCTGGCATGGATATCAGTGGAATCTTTTCCCTTGTTTTGATAAAGAGAGCATCTCTTAGTGTCTCTGTCAAAGGTCGCCTTATCGCAGTGGCTTCTCGTGTTGCATCTTAATGCGCAAGCTATCAAAGTTGCAGAGGTGAACTCAGCAGTTTTTATTGTGTCTTTAAGCGACTGTTTTTGCGGCCAGTGTGAAAAAGTGAAGTACGATGAACAGAGGTTTTGTAGATAGACGCCTGAAATATAGGCAGATAAAATGATACCAATTCGAAATAAGGCGATCATGGTTTTTGCAGCGAGATGAAGTGTTTATTTACTTGGATAAGCCTTACGTTTCCTTATTATAGAGCTGTAGGGGATTGGAAACGATACTTACTCTGATTGGTTTTTCTCTTTTGGGTCACATGATATTTAGCGCCCGGATTCACTTTAACACTTTTTGACGTGTTGTTGGTGTAAATTTTCATTTGGAAGTCTTCTTGTGCTCCTTGTCTTAGAGTGCTTTTCAACAATACGCAAACTCTTACAAAAACAATTATACAAAAATTTCTATAGCGCCCTATTCTAGAGCTCTAAAGCGCTTTACAATAAAAGGTTTAAAGCAGTAACTCAGTAAATGATAAGTTTGAAAAATACTAGAGCAAAACTACAAATTAAAAAGATAAGTTTTAAGGTTGCTCCTAAAAGATGTAAGATTTAAACTACATTTTATATGCTCTGGAGGATTATTCCAAAGTTTAGGGGCGCAGACCGATAAAGCACGATCACCATAAAATTTTATGGTGTCACTAACAAGTTCAGGTTGATGATTGTAAATTCCTAGATGGCTTGTGAGTTTGCAACAAATCACGAATATAGCTAGGACCTAAATCATTTAAAGATTTAAAAGTCAACGGTAGGATTTTGAAAACAACCCTCTGCTCCACAGGAAGCCAGTGTAGTTCTTTCAGTTAAGGAGTATTACGGTCATATTTAGAACCACATAAGATTAGATGCGCCGCACAGTTCTAAACTAACTGAAGTCTATGAATAAAGTATTTCGGAAGTCCATACAACAGAGAGTTACAGTTGTCCAGTCTACACATTACGAAGGCATGCACTAACATTTTGGTGGACAAATTGACTCCAACCAGCCAGGTAGGATTTGAACCACGCAAGGACCCTTCCCTTGATACGCATCTTCAATCCGTGGAGTAGTACACTGTGGTCAACAGTGTCAAAAGCTGCAGATAAATCAAGCCGTAACAAAACGACGGTGCCACCATTGTCCTCAGCTCGCGATATGTCGTCCTGTCCTTTCAAAAGGGCGGTCTCAGTACTATGCAATTTCTTATAAGCAGATTGTAGTTTCTCATTGAGATTGTTCTTATCAATATACTGCACAAGCAGGTAAACTTTCCCTCATAAGTCGTATCTTGTCGGCAAAGAAGGAGTTGAACTGTTCATCTACAGCAGAGTCAGAACTTGCAGAAGGAAACGCACGAGAGGTTTTCTGTATAACAAAGTATTAATCACTTGAAACAACATTTGCTGGTTCCCATGATTGGCCTCAATTATTGATGAGTAGTAGGCCTCTTTCGCATTTCGAGTCAAGTCATTTACAACACGACACTGAGATAAAAGACAAACTACTTGAAAATTTGTGTTCCATGTTACCGTTACTCATTATCGTAACGGACAACAATGGATACATTAACTGCAACACAGGAAAGACGCTTTTGCAGCCGCCTGACCTGCAACTTAACCCTTTGACCCTTAAGAGTGACTGGGATCTAATTTCTCCTTACAATATCACCCCTAAATCAAACATTTAGATCATGAGAAAAAGGAAAATGATCGCAAACTAAAGAACCTCGTGATTATCAAACAAAGTCTCCTTGTGAGTACCACAGGATATGACTAAGGAACAGTAGGGAGTATTTACATATTGACGTGAGGATATAGGGGTTAAAACATGATTGGCATATCTTTTTAGCATGCCATTTACTCCTAGGATATGTCTAATTTCCACTTACATCAATTCCTTTAGCTGCGGTTTTCCCAGCTAAATGCTCATGTTAACTAAAATTAGCGCTTCGTTTGTCTGCTAAGCTTTGTTTTTCTATATTTTTATTTTAAAAGTTGTCGATGACGACTGAATACAACAGAGCAGCTCAAGAATCAATAAACCTGCCGTCTGATGATTCAGGAAAGGTGGACCAAGGAAAGCACCGAAGAAAACAAACCATAGAGAGAAGGAGAGTTATAGAAAGCGGAAACGAAACGAGAGTGACACAAAATGATCAAATTGAATTGAGAAGAGAAGAAGAGGAGAGACAAGACAAAAATGAACAGGTGGAGGAAGGTACTCAAGTAAAGTTGAACAAAATGATAAGAGAAGAAGAGGAGAGACAAGACAAAAATGAACAGGTGGAGGAAGGTACTCAAGTAAAGTTGAACAAAATGATAAGAGAAGAAGAGGAGAGACAAGACAAAAATGAACAGGTGGAGGAAGGTACTCAAGTAAAGATGAACAAAATGATAAGAGAAGAAGAGGAGAGACAAGACAAAAATGAACAGGTGGAGGAAGGTACTCAAGTAAAGTTGAACAAACTTGAATGATTTTTTTTCGATAAATTTCATCTTTTTTTTTCAGTCTTCAAACTTTTTCTGTAAGGAAAGCGTTACATTTAGTAGGAAATAGAAACGTAGAAAGTCAAAAGACTGGAAGGTGGTATAAAAAGTACAGCAAATTAAGATAGATTTCTTAGAAAATGTGGGCTCGAATTTTTTTAGCCTAATTCCTTAGGTTACTGTAGTTGTCATTAAAGAACTTAAATGTTAAGTGTGGAGCCTATAACTTGTGAAAATTAGAAACGTAATAAATAAACTGGTCAACTTACCTTCTTTAGGGAAAGATTGAGTTCAATTCTGGTTTTGTTTTCTTGTTCTTTTGTTTGTTTGCTGCGAGTCGGGCTTTGTGATTCCCTAAGCTTATTGTTGAAGTTTGACCAAAAAGTGACGACATTAAAATATGGGACAATTTTCCTCTAAGTATCGAGAAAAATTTGTGATTACACTGGTTTTCCTTCACGCCCTGTGATTGGTCTGGAAAACTCGCGCCACCTTTCCGAAAGATCAGGTGGGGGAAGTGGGCGGAAGGGTTGGCTCTTTCTAATTTGATATCTCATTGGCTGCTTGTAGTTCTTTCTTTCGCTCTGATTAGCCGTTTTTATTACTTTCACTCATGGGGGGGTTCCTCAGGTACCAACCATCCCCACCCATCCTTAGTCTCCCTGCGCCTTTCATCTTTGTCGGAGATGATTGCAAGACAACGATCCCTGTTGTCTAACAACATGCTTGTTAGGCAACAGGGATTACTAAAAGTGTGGCGAGGATTTACCCTTTTCCTAAATTCTTGAATTAGGGACATGCATCGAAATGCTCCTAAATCGGAACGTTATTAAATCAAACAACAATTTTTATGCAGGAAACTTATTTTAGAGCCAAACACTTAATATTCCATGGAATGTTTGTGCACTTGATCCATGCAGTATGTACTCCTCTTGTTCCACATAATCGTAAAATTTACCTTCCATTGATGGCGAGTTCCCCGCAGCTCAGTAGGTAAAGCATTATACCGCGGTCCCAGTTGGGATGCAGATCCTGTTCCGGGGAACTTGCCGTTTTATGTCTAATTTCTTTTTTTTAATTTTTCTTTTTGGAAGGTTCTTTTCTTTTTCGAGTGTGTGTGAAAATCAAAAATAACATGAAGAGTCCTTGTATACCCGTCATTTTACTTCATTACATCAACGAAGATTTTCTTCCCCTTACTGACAAGTTTACCCTTTTCCTACACTCTTGAATTAGGGACATCCATCGAAATGCTCCTAAATCGGGACGTTACTGAATCAATCAACAATTTTTTTTGCAGGAAACTCATTTTAGAGTCCAACCACTCAGCGTTCCACGGAATGTTTGTACGCTTGATTTATGCAGTATGTACTCCTCTTGTCCCATATAGTCTTGAAATTTACTCTCCATTTATGGCAAGTTCCCCACAGCTCAGTGGGTAGAGCATTGTATCGCGAAAGCGGTCCCAGTCAGGATGGAGATCCTGTTCCGGAGAACTTGCCGTTTTTTGTTGGATTTTTTTCTATATATTTTTCTTTTGAAAGGTTCTTTTCTTTTCCGAGTTTGTACGAAAATCAAAAATAATATGAAGAATCCTTGTATACCCGTCATTTTACCTGATTACATTAACAAAGGTTTTCTTCCGCTTACTGACAAACTTACCCTTTTCCTATACTCTGAAATTAGGGACTGTCATCGGAATGCTGCTAAATCGGAACGTTGTTAAATCAAACAACTTTTTTTTGTGGGAAACTTATCTTAGGGCCCAAACTCTCGGCGTTCCGTGGAATCAAGTTTTGCGAGTGATCCATGCAGTATGTGCTCCTCTTGTTCCATATAGTCTTAAAATTTACATTCCATTCATGGCAAGTTCCCCGCAGCTCAGTGGGTAGAGCATTGTACCGTGAAAGTAGTCCCAGTCAGGATGGAGATCCTGTTCCGGGGAACTTGCCGTTTTTTTTTAATTATTATTTATTTATTATTATTTTGTTAACATTCTTTTTGGAAGATTCTTTTCTTTTCCGAGTTGATACGTAAATCAAAAATAAGTGTCTCCGTATACCCTTATTTTTCACTTCATTACATTAGCGAAGGTTTTCTTCCACTTACTGGCAAGTTTACCATTTTCCTACACTCTTGAATTAGGGACATGCATCGGAATGCTGCTAAATCGGAACGTTATTAAATCAAACAACATTTTTTTGTAGGGAAATCGTTTTATAGTCCAACCACTTAGCGTTCCACGGAATGTTTGTGCACTTGATCCATGCAGTATGTTCTCCTCTTTCTCTATATATAGTCTTAAAATTTACTTTTTATTCATGGCAAGTTCCCCGCAGCTCAGTGTACCGCGAAAGCGGTCCTAGTCAGGATGGAGATCCTGTTCCGGGGAACTTGCCGTTTTTTGTTTCTTTTTTTATTTTTAATGTTTTTTTTAACGTACTTTTAGGAAGGTTCTTTTCTTTTCCGAGTTTGTATGAAAATCAAAAATAATGTTAAGTGTCTCCGTATACTCCCGTCTTTTTACTTCATTACATTAGCGAAGGTTTTCTTCCACTTACTGACAAGTTTACCCTTTTCCTACTTTCCTAAATTAAGGACAGTAATCGGAATGCTACTAAATCGGAACGTCATTAAACAACACTGTTTTTGTAGGGAAATAGTTTTATAGT